AAGACAGCACAAAAAAGGAAAATCACAGGCGAATCTCTTATAAACATGGATGCAAAAGCCCTCAACAAAATATTAGCAATCTGAATCCAACAATATATAAAAGTGATAATATGCATGATCAATATATTCTAGGAATGCAAAGTTGTCTTAATATGTGAAAATCACTTAGTGTAGTGCCCTAGATTATTAGATTAAAGGAGAAAAATTATATGATCACTTCAATGATTATATGCAGTGATCAGGTGCAGAAAAAGAACTGGATAAATGTCAACATCCATAACAAAAACTCCCAGCAAAATAGGAATAGAAAGAAATTCCTTTAATCTGATAAAGGTTATATACACACAAAAAACCTTCAGCAAAGTAATATGTAATGGTGAGATATGGAAATATTTCCCTTTGAGGTTAGAAACAAGGTTGCCCCCATCATTACATTTATTCAATATTATACTGGAAATCCTAACTGGTGCAGTAAGGTAAGAAAGACAAAGAAATACAACGTATAATTACTGAAAAGAAAGAAACAAAATGGTCATCATTTGGAGATATGATTATGTGTATATGTAGAAAATCCATAAAAATATTCAGATAAATCATTATAATTTATAAAAGAGTATGGAAAGGTTGCTGGGGACAAGTTTACTATATAAAAATCAATAATATGTTTTATGTATCAGCAACAAACAGAAAAAAGAAATCTTAAAAATGTACCATTTACAACAGTATGAAAAAATAACTAGGAATAATAGTATAAAAAATACCCAGGAATAAATCCATTGAAATAAGTGTAACACTTTACATAGAAAATTATAAAATAGCTGGCCTGAAGCACCAGGGCGCCAGGAAGGTGAAGATGTTGGCTGTCTTAGTCTGGGCCACTGTGTAGGCTGTGACCAAGAGGAAGCTGCAAGGCCACCTGGGCCGCCCTCACCCTGACACTCTCAGCAGTAAACAACTTTTTAAAGATAAGCCTGAACCCATAGGTGTGAAAGTTTGTGTCCAGACCAGGGGTTGTAATGGCCTTTCGTATATTCTAGAAAATACGAAGACAAAAGGAGATTCTGATGAAGAAGTTGTTCAAGATGGTGTTAGGGCGTTCATCGAAAAGAAAGCACAACTAATACTTTTAGGAAGAGAAATGGACTATGTTGAAGACAAATTATCCTTGGAGTTTGTGCTCAATAACCCAAACATAAAAGGAACTGTGGCTGTGGAGAAAGCTTTAATATTTGAAACCTGAAGACTAGTCTGGCTGTAAGCTCCAGGAAGCTTGTGGACGCTCTCAGGATTACTGAAAAAATCACGTGACTGTTATGTGCTTAAGATTTATAATGTATGGCTGCCTTATGAGGAAAATGAAGTGATGCATTTGGACAACGAAGCCAGTATGTTAGATACCAGAAGTAATATTGTATTCTTTTTAGGGAACAGAAAATGAGAAGCCATTGCTCTCTTTGGGTCATTTTTCTGTTCTGTAAGGAAAAAAATCCTACCCTGCACTTAAATCTCTTGTATCCTTTTTGTTAAAACTATTTTCATTAAAGCTGTATTTCTGGGAGGATTTCAGGAAATGTGTTCTTAACAGGTGTGCAGTCATAAGATCTCTGTTGAATTGCTTGAAAGTGCATCTCCTTCGGTGATTTTCTGACCAGATTGATGGCTTTTAAACTCAAAGGCAAGAAGTCCTGACTGCTGGTTGTGCATTGTTTTTTTTTAAAATATAAATTTGGCCTGACCTTTTTACATTCTTATAACGTATAATGTCCAACGCCTCATTTGCTTACTCTTTAACAGTACCAGCCGTTAAATGAAAGTATCAGGCAAAGATTTCCTAGAACTGTAGTGCAAAATAGCTCTGAGGGTTGGTATTAAAAGATAAGAAATACTTCATTCACCTGTTTTTTAATCCATTTGTTTTCCCACCCTAAATGTCTGCTCAAAGATGAGATCTCAAGCTGACTTAGATTCTTTTAGTTGACAAGTCTCTTAAAAACCATCTAGCTCAATTCTCTACCTCCTTGATTCTCTGCTTGAGGAAGCAAGACCCCAGGGAAGCTGAAGGGCTTTTGTCCATCCTCACACAGTAAGCTAGGTAGAGACAGAGCAGAGACTCTACCCCACACCCTCCCTTTGTTGTAGGTGGTATGTGTGCTCTGTGCTCTGAGATCCATGCTACTTGACTGTAGAGAGTTGGCACTATAGAAGAGTGGGGAAAGGACAGTTTTGACGGTGTTTTCAAAAATGGTGTTGGGAAAATTAGATATCCATATGAAAAAAAAAAAAAGAAATTTGACTCCTACATCATCCCATATACAAAAATCATTTCCAAGTGGATTGTAAACTAAATTTGAGAGGCAAAACAATCAACCGTTTAGAAGGTAATATTGGAGAATAATTTAATGACCTCTGGATAGGGAAAGATTTCTTTAAAAGTACAAAAGACACTAACCATAAAGGAAAAGATTGATGTATTTGACTACATTAAAATTAAGAACTTCTGTTCGTCAGAAGACACCATTAAAAGAATGAAAATGCAAGCCAAAGAGAGAAGATAATTGCAATACAAATAATCCTCAGAGGGCTTTTATCAAGACTATGTAAAGAACTTCCACAAATCAATAAGAAAAAGACAACATAGTAGAAAGACAGGCAAGATAATTGAAAAGGCACTCCACAAAAGAGGCTATCCAAATAACTAACAGGTATATGAGGTCTCAACTTCATTAACAATCAGGAAAGCATAAACTTAACCCACTATAAGTTACCCTATACCCACTAAAAAGAAGCCAATCACAAAAAGTTGTGTGCTGTGTGATCCCACTCATAGAAAGTAAAAAAATGGGCAAACTATCAAATTTGAGATGCATATTTTTTTTGTTAAAGTATGAAGAAAATACAGGGAATGATTACCATACGGATCATGGTGGTGATTAAATCTAGTGGGCAGTGTTGGGAAAGATAACAGTGGATTCTGGAATGCTGGTGGTGGGTATGCAGCTCTTTGCTTTATAATAATTAGCTACACTGTAAATTTATGTTTTACACACTTTTCTCTACGTATTATGTATTTCTCTATGTATTAGGAGAAGGAAAAACATTACTCCAAATCCTGTCTCCCACAGAAATAATCACCAATTATTCCACAGACACTCATCTATGAAGGTGCACAGATAAGATAGATAGATATAATTATTTTTTCTAAAAAAAGTTATACATATATGGTTTTAAAAATAAAAATCTTGAATTTCCAATAAATATACTTCACTAAAAGAGATATTCTGAAGAGATCCTTTTAATTTTAAGAGATTATGAAAAACATTAAGAGGTTAAGTCATATTTTTAAATTTATCTTTCAATTTAAAAAACTATCAACTGATTCCCTGCCAGGAAAAGTACTTTCACACTTCCTCCCATTCCTTTTCCCTCACTTTCATATTTTTATTATTTATGTTATCACTGTTACAGCGCCACATATAAACATGTTTTTTTTTCCATAATCTTCACAACTGTCTAGTATTTCTTCTACATTTAAATAGATGCACAGCACAGGTCATCACCAGCCTTTTTACATTGTTTCTTTTTGCTCAATTTTAGTCATCACTTAAGTAACTGTATTTCATCATAGTTTTTTTTAAGAGGTGCTGAATTCAGTTAGTTTCTTTCTAAGTTTATGAAAGTCTGAATTTTGCCTTTATGTTTAAATGACATCTTAGCTGTGTATGTTCTTTGTCACATTTTCTTTTTCAACTTTGTAGACATTCCTCCACTCTTTTGTATAGAATCTTTTATTTCTTTGGTTGTCCTCTTTAAACATTTATATCTTTAGGTTGGTCTCCTTTTATTATTTGATTGGTATTAAATTTCCTTTGCTGATCTTTTTTTTTTTTTTTTTTGCAGGGGAAGATTCACCCTAAGCTAACATCTGTGCCAATCTTCCTTTTTCTTCCTTTTCTCCCCTCAAAGTCCCAGTATATAGTTGTGCACAGTTGTAAGTTCTTCTGGTTTTTCTATTTGAGCTGCTGCCACAGCATGGCTACTGACAGACGACTGGTGTAGTTCTGCACTTGGGAACTGGCCCGGGGCTTCTGAAGCGGAGTGTGCTGAACTTTAACCGCTAGGCCACCAGGGCTGGCTCTCCTTTGCTGGTTTTTTACTTTGTTTTTGTTGTTCACTTTCTTAGGTATTGGAGGAAAGAAAAACTAGGCAGATTTTGTTTTCTTCATAATCTTAAACTAAAGTCTTCTGGACCAGTTTAGATGGTATTAAAATAAACAGTTTCTTGAAGATTTGAAAGAACTTACTCTTAAAACTCTCTGGGCCTGTCACCTTTTGTTGGAGTGATGATGGTGGTGGAGAGTTGCTAGGTATAATTATTTTATAGTTTTTTTCAACTATCATTACTGGTCTATCTATATTTTTCACTTCTTCTTTGATCAATAGAGGTAATTTATTTTTTTACCCTGGAAAAATGTTCATTTTATTAAAACATTTAACCTCTTAACCTTAAGTTATACATAATATCTTATTGTAATATTATTATTATGCTCACTATTCATAGTTATATCTCTTTTAAAATTCTTAATGTGCTTCTTTCTATCCCCTTTTAATCTTTCTGTCTATATCAGAACAGCTGAGGCATACATACTGGAAATAACCATTAATCGATTTTAAGCATTCCTAATCATAGGATGTTCTCCTTTTCTATCAATTACTGTTTAATGTTTGTTTTAAATCTTTTTCATTCTATTTTCCTTCTCTTCCTCATTTTTTGACCGGAGAATGGTCTGTTAGTACTCGCACTAATTTTCGTTATTCATAGTGGAAGACATTTGCTGGTCTTGGATTAATAAAGAGACAGATGTGCTTTCATTTAAGATCTGAATTCGGCCACATGCTTTTCAAAATGCCCTTTGATACCAAATAAGCACTATCATTGGTCTATGGATGCTCTCAAACCCAAGCTGTCCTAAAGGGCATATGATTTTATTTACAATGCTCACCGTCAACTGGTAGGTTTTGTGAAAAATCTTCAAGTTCTTTATGTGAGAGCTCAATTCCCATATTTTCCAGAAATGCATCCAGGTTATTCATATCAACCTTTCCTCCTTAGGAGAAACAAGGTATCATAAAAAGGCAGCAAGATGTGAAAAAAAAAAGCCTTATTAATTCATGTATATTATGGTTACCACTTTAACCATGAAGACATTAAGGTCCAGTAAGACCTAGTCAAGAGTGCAAGGTGAGTCAACATTAAAATTAGGTGTAGAATCTCCTCCTCTGACTATACCTTTTGTTCATATCAACAGAGTGCAAGTTCCAAAAGGGCTGGGTAATTTTCCAGGGATTTATGGCATAACATATCTAACGTATCCGTAAATATTGGGGAAATACACATATGGGATTTTTAATGTAATAAAAATAAGTTAGTATATGTGAAAAATAAGAGAATATCTCAGATGTATCTGCTTTTTCATCATACTACTCACTTTTAAGAGTCTTCACACCATCCAGCAACCTTTTTTGAAACACTTTTCCTTCAGCTGTAAGAAAAGGGATAATTCAGGTCAGAGAAAAATAATAAGGGAAATTCACCTAAACAATAAAATTTCTACAATTCTTCCCCTGATCCCATAATTTCAAAAAGATAGACTTTTGAATGATTTTTTTTCTGAAATTTATCTAATTTGCTCTCAGATAGTAACAAAGTTTTCTGGAGAAAAATTTTAATGAGGCAAATCTGCTCACTCTTCCATAAAAAGTATGATTATTGGCTTAAAACATAAAACAAATATCCCATCTGATGTGATTTTATCTCTGACTTCTTTCCTTCTACCCTTTACTCTTCCATTTTTACATCCTTCCACTTACTCTCAGGCATATTAGTGGAATCAAGCACAACAATACCCATATTTTATTGGCAGGGATGAGTGAAATAGCTATTGCCTCCCATAATAAAAATTAAATGGCCCAGAACTTTCTTTGGCAAAAATCAAGTAATTCTAAAAGCTTTCAAAAATGGTTAACAAAAAAAACCAACCTGGTAATAGTTTGTTATCATTTTAGAAGAAAATCTCATAGTCTAGCAACCTAAAGCCCCTTGAAGGATACATATATATTTTAAATCCTTACCATCAACTGGTAGAGTTTTTACCAAATTCAAGTATTCCTCATCTGTGACCTCTAATTTCAAGTCTTTCAGAGCATTTCCTAAGTCACTGACATCTACCTCCTCTCCTAGAAAAGACAGAAATGGCAACAAAAAAGAATTTGAGAGGAACACAAAATTAGTGAGTTATTACAATCAAATGTTGCTAACTAGCAATATTTTCACTTATGCACCATTTAGATAATTTCATGAGTATTTAAAAATCATGTATTATACAACACAAAAATTAAAATTTATAACCACCTTGACTGATTATGTAAACAAGCAAAAAATAAAACAAAAATTCGGTTCCTTTCTTCACAAAATAGAAATTTACATATTTCTCCTGATAGATTTGAAATTATCATTATGTTAGGAGCACTACAATGTTAGACACAAATCTCATTTAGAAAGGTACATAGATTATATGCCTTATATGCATTAATTATTAATTAATTAATACAACGTAATAAAGATATACATAGTTGATGCTTATTAGAAGGTATGTTTAAAAAATGGAGGCTCAAGTTTCTATAATAATTTTTGTTTTGCACTAATGTTATGGTAAATAAACTTTTGATTATTACAAATACTTTTATACTTTGCAACTTTAGAGAGGAAGACAATTTTGGTTTAATTAAGCCTTTTGGTTTAAATCAGAGGAAAATGAATCTCTGAAAGCTTACTGTCAGCAAAGTCTAGAATCCTAAACTTTTAGCCAATAAGTTATATATGTTGCATATTTCAAGTGTATATGGCTAGTGTAGGGGAGGAAGACATTTCCTCTACCCACTCTGGGTTCTTCTGGCCAGAGAATGAATTAAATTCACATGACACAGAATAACAGGAGAAAATTAAACAAAGCTTTATAACATGTATACATGGGAAGGGCTCAGGCAAACTGCGCAACTCGCCAAAATGGCTGAAGCCACCACTTTAAATATCACCTTCAGCTAAAGACAAAGGAGGATGTTGGGGGTGGGGGGAGTCAGTTACGGGAGATTACCAGACAAGTACAGTAAACAAGAGTAAGATTATTATGCAGATTTAAGTCCTTGCCTTCTGCATTGATTAAGAGTTTCTAGAGATAAGGTCATCCCCCCTTCTTCCTGGTACAGAGAGGGAGACACCTTTACAGATGGAGATTTTTCTTTACAAATGTAAATGTCTCTTAACAAAGGGTAAGTAAATTCTACTTTTCAGAGTTTCTTTCCTGTCTGCAGTTTTTAAAAGTAACCAGCCCAAAATAATCCTCATGCCAAAAAGACTTATCTTGGGGTGGCCAATTCCAGTCCCCCACTCTAGTATGGATTTCATTTTATTTATTTTGCTTGGGATTCATTTGGCTTCTTTAAATTGGCACCATTTATCAGTTCTGGAAAGTTTTCTTCAAGTTTGCCTCTGTCTCATTCTCTCTCTATTTTCTTCCTGGCATTCCAATTAAATATATGTTAGATTTTCTTATCTATCCTCTATATCTCTTCTCTTTCACATTTTCCATTTCTTTGTCTTTCTGTGCTACATACCTTGTAATTTCTTCAGTTCCTTAGTCCTTTCTTCAGCTGTTTATAAACTACTATTAAATCCTTCAAATATTTTAAATTTCTACTATTTTCATTTCTCAAAGATCTATTTGGTTCTTTATCAAATCTGCTTGCTCTTTACTATATATATTCAAGTCTCTGTTTTAATTCTTAAACTATATTAAGCATACTAATTTAATAATTTTTTTGTCTGACAATTCCAAAATCTAAAATCTCTGCTGATCTGAGTCTGCTATACGTTGTTCATGATGGTTCTTACTCATGGTGCCTTGTTTTCTTGTAATAATTTTAGACTATGAATTGCTCTTCATATGAAATTCTTTGTTTTGAGAAGAATCTTTTTGGATACTCATCTGAAGTTTTCCTTCAGAGAGTATCTGAATTTGCTTATGTCAGTTGCCCGGGGGCATTAGTCATCTGGGATCACTTTAAACTAAATTTTTAGCAAAAGTTAGCGTGAATTTGGCAAGTAAGCCTGTGTGAAGATCATCTTGTGTTTACAAATTGAGTCAGGCAGTTTTCCTTGCAGGCCAGGGGGATATTTGTAATTCACTCTTCTGCTGTATATGTGGCTTTTTTAGATTCTTAGCTTTAAGGGAATTCTCCTATTATACCTTCTACCTTGAGTGGGCTCTGGGCTTTGCTTCCTCTCCACCGAGTTCTGGCGGGCTGTGAAAAGTAGTTCAGATTCATTTAGTTCAGCAAAAGCCTATAAAATGAAATGTGGCTTCAGGGCTCTTCTTTCCTCTTTGGGTACCAGACTTTTGGTATGAGTATTCCTTCTAGTTTACAAGTTTGTGGAAGCATTTAAATTAGATTTTATCTGCATTATTAGCTGTTTTCAACATCCAGGCACCTAGTCCACCATGTTGCTAGAAATGGAAGTGCTGTCAGAAGGTACATGAGAAGTGTATATGGGTAGCTACATACTCGTTTAAGTTCTACTGGGCTCTCACGCTTTCCTCTTGCTCTATCATTTTCCATCTCTTTGGAATGAGCAGTAGCTATTTCATAAGACTATTCCTTTGTAATTCCATAGATAAATGAGCTTCCTCAGACATGTCAACTTGAGAGCTTTGTAAAGACTCATAGCTGCATTTCTATGACAAGAAATTGTCTTTTCTATTTCCTTGCAGTTATCATTGGATCTTCTATTCTACTGTTAATGAATCCAGCTGGAGGGCTCCTTCCATCATTTCCACACAACCAGGTCCTGTGACAGCCTGAATAATAGTCAGGGGAGCAATAGTGTGCCACTTCATGGAGGGGACATGGCAGAGGAACTTGATGTAGCTTTAGTAGTGATGACCCCTCTCTTGTGCCCTGAGGTCCAGCTATGCACATATGAAGAGGAAAAACTGGGGTAATTTCTCCTCCATAGTTCATTATGAGAATTCATATAACCACTGATAATAAAAACAGTACCTGAACTCCTAAGAAAAGATTTATTGTTTCATAACCACGGTAAAGAAACCACCACTACTGGTTTTAAACTTGTTTAATCAAATGACACCTTGCCTCAGTGAACACACTTCTGAAAGCCAACCAATCAGTGACAGTGCCTTACTTCAGAAAGTCAGCCACATGGGAAGAGTCACACTGCAATGAATACTCTTGTGAATACCAACCAATGTCAGTCTTACTTGAGAATTTGTGTTTCTACAGACAATCTCCATCTACTCACGCCTCTGAATTTGCCAATCCCTGAACTCCACACTTCCTCCAAATCTTATATAAGATCACCATTCTGTTCTGCACAGTAAAGACTGCCTGGCCAGGTTTGTGTTTTTTTATTTCAGATAATGAATGGTGGTGTCAGCTTTTGAGAATTCTGGAGAGGCCACTCATTTTGAAGATCCTCATTTGGCAGCATTACAGGGGACTGTTGGACCAATAGGTGTACTCACCAGGCCCCTCGTGTGCAATTTCTATTTGTCTTCACATTAACTGCCAAGTGAGTCAGTCTCAACAACAACAATTTGAGCTCTGATTGGGTTTGTTGAGTTCTTGTTGGTGAATTTATTTTGTTATCCTAGGATTTGTCTTTGTCATTAGTGCTAGGTCTTTGTATAAGGTAATTAGACTTTTTGATTTGTAGTATGCTATTTGGTAAGTATTTTTGCCATTAACTTGCCTATTTTCCCCTAAGTGCTTTGCTTTCACTTTTGTTTGTCTATTTGAATAAAGTCTTGTCTCACGTATTTTTTGTTGTTGTTGGTCCAGATTGTATTATTATTATTATTTTTTGTGAGGAAGATGGTCCCTGAGCTAACATCTGTGCCAATCTGGTACTAAATACAGGGAGAGAAAGAAAGTGAATGAGTGAGTCACACACGTACTTTGAGAAATAGAGAGTAGATTTGTCTTAAAATAATGTCTGATTGCGCCAGAATGTGAAAGAAGATAGTAAAAGACAAACGGAAAGGTTCATAGTAAGTTGTAAAATTCTTGAGGGGAAATAAACTTTATTTACCAAACCACCAAAGTAGTGGGAATTTCTAACACTACTCAGTCCTTTTCTAAGTCAGCTATCGTACTATGGTGGCTGTGTGTTGCTATGATGCTGAAAGCTATGCCATCTGTATTTTGAATACCACTAGTGTCACCCATGGTGGACAGGTATCAGCAGAGCTTTAGACTAAGACAGACTAGGAAGAATGACCTGGCCACCCATTTCTGAAAAAATTGGCCATGAAAACCCTAAGAATAGCAGTGGAGTGTTGTCTGATATAGCACTGCAAGGTGAGAGGATGGCACAAAAAGACTGGACGGGGTTCCCCTCTTCTGTACACAGGGTCGCTAGGAGTCATAATCGACTTGAAGGCAGTAACAATAACGAAAAGATTAGGCTACACTTCAGGAGTGTTAACACAGCACATCGATAGCATACATAAAAGACCCATTGCTTATTATAGCTTATCTTTTAATTCAGTAGCCTTGGCTATATCCTTTTTGCTTCAGAGCAACTGTAGTTCCTAACATTAGCCAAAGCATTTTCACATCTCATATTAGAATCATCTTTAAATCTGTTGGTACCACATGCAGTTATGCTCTCTATTGCTAACTGAAAATATCCAATATTTTTGGACTAGTTGGTTAACAAATTATGAAATATTGTTACTCTCACCTCATATTACTATCCATTGGTATAACAGTCTCAATTCAGTGACTTTATTACCTTTACCCTATGAAGGAGAATTCTCTTTCTGTAACTAATTTCTGTAATTGTATTTCTATAGTTCAAAAAGTGTCCATGGCCTGAACAGATCTTTTGGACACCTCAGTACCAAATTTTGACTTAATATTATTTGTTAATAGGTCTGTCTTAAAAGTGAAAAGGGACCCAGTAGGCTAAATATGCAATAATTAGTCTAGTTTCTCTTTAAAGATCCAATTACTTAACAGATACTAGATTGGTTCAAGTGACTGAACATTGGCCCTTTCTAGAGATTTCAAATTGGTAAAACTAATAGATGATAAGCTTTTGTAGTAACTACTACTAGATGCCTTGATGCTGCTCAAAGAAATTGCTATCATAAAAGCAGAAGCCCACAGTGAAATAGGTAATATAGAGACCAGAGAAAATGCTTTAGCAGACCATCTCACTAAATAGAATATGTGCAGAAAAGAGTAAACATAGCAGCCCTGAGGCTGCTATTTTTAGAAGAGCCTGCTTGCCAGGTTGGTACTTGTCTGGCATCTGGGAACTTGAGTTTCAGAATGTTCCCTCCAATACTAACAGATAAGCCTGGTTCACTGTGCCTAGACTTGTACAAACAACATGATTAATGGTAAATAGTTACTTTTCTTATGGGAGTTTGGTATTTTGGTAGTTGTTAGGCAGAGGGTGCCTAAGTGAACAGCCCCAAATAAAAAACCCTGGGCACTGAGTCTCTAATGGGCTTCCCTGAGCACACATGTGTAACTACATTTTTGCGGCTGGAGGGAAGGTATATTCTGTGTGGCCTCTCATAAGAGGGAGAACATAGGAAGCCTACACATAGATTCCTCCAGAATCTGCTTATATATTTTTCTCTTAGTGATCTAGCTGTATATTCTTGCTGTTCACTCTTTGTAATGTACAGTTCTATGGGTTTTGACAAATACAATATGTCATGCATTTACCATTACAGTAACATACAGAATAGTTTCACTGCCCTAAAGTTCCCTGGTGGTTCTCCTATCCATTTCTGCTCCCTACACCACCCCACCTAAACTCCTGGAAACCACTGATCTTTTTATTATCTCTATGGTTTGCCTTTTCCAGAATGTCATGTATTGGAATCATACCACGTGTAACCTTTTCAGACTGTCTACTTCCATTTAGCAATGTACATTTAAGGTTGCTCCATGTCTTTTCATGGATCAATAGTTCATTTCTTTTTATCATTGAATAATAGTCCATTATGTGGATGTACCACAGTTTGTTTATCCATTCATCAATTGAAGCATATCTTGTTTGCTTCCAAGTTTTGGCAATTATGAATAAAGCTGCCATAAACATTCGTGTGCAGGTTTTGGTGTGGACATAAGTTTTCAGCTCATTTGGGTAAATACCTAATGTGTAATTGCTCCATATTATAGTAAGATTAAGTTTAGCTTTGTAAGAAACTGCCAAACTGTCTTCCAAAGTGGCTGTTCCATTTTGCATTCCCATGAGCAACAAATGAAAGCTTCTGTTGCTAGCCATTCTAGTTGGTGTGTAGTGTTATCTCGTTGTTTTAATTTGCAATTCACTTATGGCGTATGATGTCGAACATCTTCTCACATGCTTATTTGCCATCTCTACATCTTCTTTGGTGAGGTGCCTGTTCAGATCTTTTGTTCACTTTTAAATTAGGTTGTTTGTTTTATTATTGCTGAATTTTAAGAATTCTTTGAAAATTTTAGATACAAGTCCTTTATCAGATACGTGTTTTGCAAATATTTTCTGCCAGTCTGTAGTTTGCCTTTTCATTTTTAAACTAATGTTCTTTTTGAAGGACCTCTTATAGATCAGAAAAACAAGTGTAGGGTCAGGTTCAATGATTCCATTATAGAAGCACAAAATTTGACCTCAATGCTGTAAAGAAACAATTGGAGTGATCAGGTTATAATATCCATGAGGATAAGATCTGCCAAAGCCAGGATTGCGACATAGTTGCACAAGATAAAATTTCAATTGAATATTTGCCAAAATCCTACATAAAACAACCCATTACTATAGGAACAAATTTGTCACACTATTCAACACTGATTAGGACATTTTATATTATATCAGAGGACATGGCCAATTCATGCCTCCTCTGACACTAAATTATTCTGGAAAATATGTAACCTTGAGACCAGGATTAGAACCACACCCTAAGGGGCCCTTTGAGCATAACCAAACAGATTTATACAGTTGCTTCTCTCTGTGCTATGAACATGTACTAATAATATGTATATTTTCTGAATGGGCTGAAACATTCTCTTGTCAAAAATCGACAGCACTCAGGCTGGCTAATAAACTTTTAGATATCCTGCTACCTGCTTAGGGCATTCCAACTTATCTATTCAATTGTAGGGAAATACATTTTATTTTGGCAATTATTCATGATTATACAAAAGGTTTTGCCTATTATTTAAAAACTTCACTGTCTTTTGAACACTAACACTCCTGGAAAAAAGAAAGAAACGATATTAAAATTGGAAAGTTACATGATTAGAAACCTTAAACTGAGGTTCTCCAGAGAGCTCCAAGAAGCAGTTGGTTCATGTAAGTCACCTGCCGACCTAAGGTCCAAGATCCTCAGAACAAGTGGAAAACTCCTTGAAGTACAGAGCTTCCACCCAAGACCATCAGAATAAGAAAACACTGATTGTCAGTGCTCTGCATATTTTTCACATATTTTTATTCTTATCTTTTGTCATATTTCCCATTTTTACTTATTTAATATCATACACTTCTGACTTAGCCTGTCATGATTTCTCTTACTACTAACAAGAACTTACTGAAGTTTAAATCTTACTGGGGACAATCACTGTACTAGAGTTAGGACAATCCTAACTCTATAACTCAGCTTTTTTACTAGCAAACTAGTTTAAAGAATTACTGGCTATGTTCTGTGGGGCTAATAGACAATTCTAAGTGCATGGCTTTCCAACAGTCTCAATAGATCTTGTCTCCTTATAAAGAATTCAAGGAGAGAGAGACTTTTCTGGGGAAATACATAATATCTGGTGGAACAGATTCCTAAGCATAAGATATTCCATCCAAAGGAATAAAAAAAAATTTGTGTCTTACCTTGGCTGACCTAGTATATAATACAGTCCATGTCCTATTCAGTACAATAAACCAATTAAAATTGTATACACACACACACACAACACACACACACACACAATGGAACACTACTCAGCCATAAAAAAAGACAAAATCATGTCATTTGTGACAACATGGATGGACCTTGAGGTATTATGCTAAGCAAAATAAGTCAGATAGAGAAAGACAATTACCATATGACTTCATTCATATGTGGAAGATAAACAAACAAACATATAGATACAGAGAACAGATTGGTGATTGCCAGAGGGGAGGGGGCAGGGGGAGGGTGAAAGGGGTAAAGGAGCACATGTGTATGGTGATGGATGGTAAGTAGACTTTTGGAGGTGAACAAGATGCAGTCTCTACAGAAGTCTAAATATAATGATGTACACCTGAAATTTATATGATGTTATAAACCAATATGACTTCAAAAAAATTCCCTCGATAAATGATAGAATTGCCTTGAATTTTCTTTTGACCAACTAGAGGGGGATTTGCACCATTGCTAATACTTCATATTGTACTTGGATTCACAGTACAGGTCAAATTTATATCTAAGCTAAAGAAAAGACAACTTGGTTATTTAACGTAGACTTAAGGCATTATTAGGACCAGTTTTCTTTCAAGTCTGAGAAATATTGGACCATGATTCCAGAGTGCCTTGCAGTTTCTTCTTATAATACTTTCAGCTAGCTTGGTTTGTCTTACAGCTGTTTGAGATCTGCTTTTCAGTCTTAAATGCTTCTTTGCAGTCATTGCACCCATAGATAGTTAAACAAATCATTCAAAGACAAAAATAGGATGAAATCATCCAGACACTCAGATGTTAGCTCATCTCAAGGAGAATCAACAATAGTGGAGAAGGTCTGAACAATTCCTGAGGTCTCTCCTGTGGTTTGGTTGAGGGAGGATCAAAGGGTAAAATTAAGACCAAAAATATTCTCACATTATTAAGAAGACCTAGGGACATCTACTGTATCATGCAGAGTGAATACTAGACTTAGAAATATAACACTGTGCCTTTTATAATAAAAGGCATATCTTCATATTATTGGAGAAAAATACTACACATAATAATATGAGGCTAATATAATTGCCAAAAAAATTATGTTTTTGGTGACCTATTCAAATAATTATGTCTACATACAGTATCACAATTATTACATAAATTTTGAAATTTATTGTCTTATGCAAAAACCTAATACCTCTATTGCAGAAACATAGGTAATTAAAACAGTAGATGAAAATGTTTAATTAATGAAAGGTTAAAATGGTGAAATTAAGAAGGGAATGAAGGAATGGTAGGAAATATCATTAAAACAATGTAAAGAATTAAGTAATTTTTGCTCACCTAAAACAGTACTCAATTCTTCCATCAATGTACTTAGTTTGACCTTCCCTTCACCTATAAGACAAGGTAAAATTTATTTATTTAATTTTTGAGGAAGATTAACCCTGAGCTAACATCTGCCACCCATTCTCCTCTTTTTGCTGAGGAAGACTGGCTCTGAGCTAACATCCGTGCCCATCTTCCTCTACTTTATATGTGGGATGCCTACCACAGCATGGCTTGTCAAGCGGTGCCATGTCTGCACTGGAGATCCGAACCGGTGAACCCCGGGCGACCAAAGAAGAATGTGTGAACTTAACTGCTATACTACCAGGCCAGCCCCCGCGACAAGGCAAAATTTAGACACTGATAAATCCAAACTCAGAAAAAAAGCATAAAGCATAAAGTACTTAAATTATGAACTAGAGTCCAGATGAAGGCTAGTCACTATATCTTGTCCTTTTAAAAGTTGAAATTCTTGGGGCTGGCCCCGTGGCCGAGTGGTTAAGTTTGCGCGCTCTGCTGCAGGCGGCCCAGTGTTTCGTTGGTTCGAATCCTGGGCGCGGACATGGCACTGCTCATCAACATGCCACAACAAGAAGGACCCACAACAAAGAATATACAACTATGTACCAGGGGGCTTTGGGGAGAAAAAGGAAAAAAATAAAATCTTTACAAAAAAAAACTTGAAATTCTTGGACTTTAATAGATAGCTCCGTTATCTGCAAGAGGGTCTAAGATTGCTTGAATTATAAAGTCTATCTTAGGTAAAATATTCTCTCAAGTGTTTTGGACTCATTCTGTTTCTAACTCCATGTTTTTCTTGGAAGGGCTGATAACACATGACTAGTATACATTTAAGGCCATTGTTTATGGTATTGTGTTATTTTCTATCACTGGAGAAAGACAAAGAATTCCAGGAAAGGAGCAATGAAGAGCATAGTATGTGGTGAACTAAAACTTTTAAATTTTGCTTGTAGGAAAAATGCCATGTAAGGATTCGAAAGATGAGTCAAAAGAAGCTGGTTGGAGTTACTAGTTTAGACTTTGATATCAGACTGCCTGGATCTGGGAATACAGCTGTGAAAAAAGATAAAAATTCTGGCTTCACGAAGTTTACATTAACTTGTTTTGTTTATGGCTGTATCCCGAAGGCGGACTCAGAGACTGTTAGGTGTTAGATGTTCAGTAGATATCTGTTACATGAACGAATCAATTAACTGGATGAGAAAATTGATAAAAATGTTTAGCACTGGGTCTGGGATATCATAAGACTCAGTGCCCGTACGCTGTGAGCTATGAGGAGGTCACTGAAAGGTTTTAACTCGAGGAGTAACAGGATCAGATTTTCACCTCAGTTAAGTCATCCTGGCTAGTGTGTGTAGGTGACAAGCTGGCTGTTAGACCCGTCAGGAGGCTTCAGCAGTAGTAGTCTAAGCCAGGGATGATGAGGATTTGAATTGAAAGTAGAGCAGCAAAGAGAGAGAGAGATTTGGGATATTTTTAGGAGGAAGAAATGAAGGAGCATAAGAAGTCAAAGATAATTTGTAGATTATTTCATGGGTAATTGTGGATGGATCATAGTGGCATAGAAATTTTTAAAAAAAATCAAGAATCAGGAATGAATTTAACGGGGAAAAAGTTTACTTTTATATGTAGAGGTTGGGTTGTCAGCGGAAAGTCTATGTCTCAACAGGGATTTGTTGATAAGGGAGAAGATCTCTTAGCTGACTTCTATTTAACCAACCTGATGGTCTGAACTTCATTTTTCATTCCTATCGTAAAATATTTAGACTGATGCTGATGGCATGCCAAACTTTCACATCTAGTAAGCTACACTTTGAGTAAGCCAGTGCATTTGTGTTCTTATGCTGTTGAGCTTGTTCCAGGCTTGTTTATAAATAGTTGTACTTATTATTAAATTGATAACATAATCATATATAAAGTGATGAACTATAAATGGAAAAGGGAGTTATTACCATAAAAACAGATTTGAATGATTTGGGAAGTTTATGTAACGGCAAATTGCTAAAAAAGTTCTGTTGAATTTGGTATGGATAAGATAAATGTAAAAAGACTGGAGAAAGAATTAAAATCTAGGTGGATTCTGACTGAAATTTCTGCTCAACTTTTAAGAAAGCACTTTGCTCCACTTAAGAGAAACTGAAAATGGGAGTATAGATGATAAATGGGTATGTTTGTGCAAGAAAATCCCCAAAGAGGATGGCTACATTAAATTAAAATGGCATTGGCTCAATTTTTTTCATTCAAATAAAATGTTTAAGGTATACATATCATTTTTATGATTCCTTACTTTAACTTGATTTTTAGATTGTCTGATCAACTACTTGCCCCTGTCATGCTAGATAAAAAGACTTTACTGTGCTAAACTGAAACTAATGAGATAAGTTTGAGATAAAAGATTTGAAATCTTAAATATATATTTGGTTAAGTAAATCCTCCAAGAAGAGTGTGGTGGTGGAAAGAAAAATAGAACTGTCAGTACTATTATTTAAGCTAGTGATTTGCAAAAGTTTTGATCATAAGCCACACAAAGAACTGTGAACACACACATACATAATTGATCATATGACTCATGAGACAATATCTAGCTTTACTATTACATTCGATTTCATTAAAAAAAGTGCTCACTTCACCCGTTGGTTTGAAAGGAGAAAGAGAAGCCCTTAACAGCCTTAGGAACAAGACAAGAGCCTGCTCTCACCACTCGTATTCAATGTAGTACTGGAAATCCAGGCCAGAGCAACCAGGCAAAAAAAGAAAAAGTATCCAAATAGGAAAGGAAAAAATAAAATTGTCTTCATTTGCAGATGATATAATCTTATATACAGAAAATCCTAAAGACATCATCAAAAAAACTGTTAAAACTAATCAATGAATTCAGTAAAGTTGCAGGATACAAAATCACCATAAGAAATCAGTTGTGCTCCTATACACTAACAATGAAATATCTGAAAAAGAAATAAAGAAAACAATCCCATTTACAGCAGCACAAGAAAACAATAAAATACTTAGGAAAAAATTTAACTAGGGTGGTAAAATATCTATACAATGAAAACTACAAGACTTAGTTTGAAAGAAATTAAAGACAACACAAACAAATGTAAAGATAGCCCATGTTGATGGGTCAGAAAAATTAATATTGTTAAAATGTCCATATTACTCAAAGCCTTCTATAGATTCAGTGCAGTCTCTATAAAAATTCCAATGGCATTTTTCACAGACATAGAAAAAAAAATCCTAAAATTTCTATGGAACCATAGAAAACCTCAAATAGCCAAAACAATCCTGACAAAGAACAAAATTAGAGGCATCATGCTTCTTGATTTCAAATTATATTACAAAGTTAATCAAAACAGTATAGTACTGGCATAAAAATAGACACATAAACCAATGGAAAAGAATCAAGAGCCTAGAAATAAGCCCTCACATATACAATCAACTGCCAACAAGGCAGCCAAGAATAGTCAACAGGGAAAGGATAGTCTCTTCAATAAACAGTATTGGGAAAACTGGATAACCACATCAAAAGAATGAAACTGGACCACTATCTTACACCACTCACAAAAATTAATCAAAGTGGATTAAAGACTTAAATGTAAGTCCTGAAACTGTAAAACTCCTAGAAGAAAACATAAGGAAAAATCTCCTTCACATGAGTCTTCACTTTTATTTTAAAAGTGTTAAAACATTTATGTTAAAATGTTAACATGAGTTTTAACTTTTTGGATATGACACCAAAAGTACAAGCAACAAAACCAAACATAAATCAGTAGGACTACATCAGACCAAAAAGCCTCTGCACAACAAAAGAAACAATCAACAAAATGAAAAGGCAACCTACAAAACGGGAGAAAATATTTGCAAACCATATATCTGATAAGAGGTTAACATCCAAAATATGCAAGGAACTCATAACACACAATAGCCAAAAAACCAAACCAATCTAATTAAACAATGGGCAAAGAAACTGAATTGCTCTCTTTCCAAAGACATACAAATGGCCAACAGATACATGAAAAGGTGTTCAACAACATTAATCATCAGAGAAATGCAAATCAAAACCACAATGAGATATCAACTTAGAATGGCTATCATCAAAAAGACAAAAGATGAAAATGCTGGTGAGGATGTGGAGAAAAGGCAATCCTTGCTCACGGATAGTGGGAACGTAAATCAGTGCAGCCACTGGGGAAAACAGTATAGCAGTTCCTCAAATTAAAAATAGAAGTACACGTATGCTCCAGCAATCCCACTTATGGGTATACAAAGGAAATAAAAACAGGATCTCAAAGAGATATCTGCACTCTCATGTTTATTGCAGCACTATTCACAACAGCCAAGATAGGGACACAACCTGTGTCTGTCAGTGGATGAATGGATAAAGAAGATGTCGTATATTACAGTCATTCACCGTATAACACTGTTTTGGTCAACGACGGACCGCATATATGATGGTGGTCCTATAAGATTAGTACCACATAGCCTAGGTGTGTAGTAGGCTATCCCATCTGGGTTTGTGTAAGTACGCTCTATGATGTTCCCACAATGACGAAATTGCTTAACGCATTTCTTAGAATATATCCCTATCGTTCAATGATGCAAGACTATATACACAACTGAAAATTTTTCAGCCATGAGAAAGAAGGAAATCTTGCCATTTGCAACAACATGGATGGACTTTGAGAGACCTAAGCTAAGTGAAATAAGTCAGACAGAGAAAGACCAATACTGTATCATTTCACTTACATGTGAAATCTAAAAAAGCTGGACTCACAGAAACAGAGAGTAGAATGGTGACTACTAGGGGCTGGGGGGTGAGGGAAATGGGGAGATGTTGGTCAAAGGGTACAAACTTTCAGTTATAAGGCAAATAAATTCTGAGGATCTAATGTACAGAATGGTGATTAAAGTTAATAATACTGTACTATATACTTAGAAATTGCTAAGAGATTAGATCTTAAATGTCTCACCATTAAAAAAATAATAATTATGTGATGGAGGAGTTAGCTAATGCTGTGGTGGTAATAATTTTGCAATATATAAATGTATGAAATCAACAGGCTGTAAACCTTAAACTTATACAATGTCATATGCCAATTATATCTCAATAAAGACGGGGAAAAAAAGACGAGGTACCCCTTGAGTATAGGAGTGATTACTGTGCTCACCATCATCCGGAAGTCTTTCTATCAGATCCATGAATTCTTGTTCTGTGATGTCGATTCCCATGTTTTCTAAAAGAGTGTCCAACTTATTGACATCAACATTGCCTCCTAAGTAAGGGACAGGAAAGGAATACAGCAAAACTGAATGATTCTAAAACTGAACTACGCATTCACTCTGCTATGTTATTCTTCTTCTTCACTGAGCATGTGTTTTGTTACAATAAAAAACATTTAATTCATTTCTTAGTATTTTTGTTAAGATTTTCAAGACAAACATCAAAATTCTAGCCTTGTCCAGTTAGGAGGAGAATAGAATTAGAACTCATTCCCTCCAATTTTATGTTGGGAATATTGAAAAGCTAGAGCTAGAGACAATTGACATAATATTCTGAAAAATAGGAGTTATTTTTGTTGCCTGTACTTTCAAATTATTTGTCTCTGCCTTTGACTGAAATCCTTATCTGACAGGCTTCATTCTTCACCTTTTGCTTTATATTTTTAAATTTATTTTGTTTCCTTGGGGCTGAGTTAGGAAAATCCAAGAAAGTTTAACACTTTCTGGCAAATCTTAGTACAGGAAACTATTTGGTAAATACCTGGTAAAATGCAGATCTACTGAAGGAAGCATAAAGAAAGACTCAAATATATAGGAAAAGAGGATTCATATTTTAACAATACAAATGGGAGTTTCAGAGTAAATCTTTTCACTGTGCTTCTTACTCACGTTTGTGAGACTTTATGCCCTTCATCAACCTTTTCTGATACACTTTTCCATCAGCTATAAAAAAAATGAGATATTTTGGAAATGGAGTCAGAAATATAGTCCATCTCTTAATTTTAGAAAGAAAGAATTTAGAAGTCTTTGCCTAGTGAATATTTCAAATGCCAATAGATAATAGATATACTAAAATGTTCACTCTCAGTGGTGAAGGAGTGAAATGCAAATCATAATAATGAGATGCTCTTTTTTTGCTGTTTTTCTATGTTAGAATGTAGGAAAAATAACATTCTAAATACTGTTTTTGGGAGTTCAAACTTCCATTTCCTGGAAGGAAATGTCATAAAACAAATAAAATATCTTACATTTTGCAACTCTACTTAATAGAATTTAATCTCAAGAAATTTTAGGATATTTAGAAAGATTTATCCATAAGGTTGCCAAGTAAACAAAGGACATATATTCATAGATGAGAAGTGGAAAAATATACCTCCAATTTTTTATATTAGTTTTCACTTTGAGGTGGGAATAGAGATGGTCTTATTTTCACTTATCAGCATTATCAAGGTTTTTATGATGAATACAGACATTAACATTATGAAGAGATGTTATAAATTAATATACACATAAATATCTATCTATCTATCATCTATCTTAAAAGCACTAGAAGGAAATGCACTAAAATATTAATAGTGAATATCCTTGGATATGGAATTAAAAGCATTTTTATTTTCCTAAACTTTAAAAAATGTAACTTAATAAGGAAATTAAAAACCGTAGCCTTTCCTCAAAGTACAAAATTATCCACTTTTTGGTAAACTATATATTCTGTGCTGCAGAAACACACAGAGCTATATAATTTAATTTGTTTTTTGTCTTCTCTTTACTCCTTATTCTCTCTCCCACCTCTCTTCTTTCTTTCTTTCATACTTTTACAAATCCAGCTGATCAGCAGCCTGAGGGCTGAGTAATGAACTTTGTCTTTGACAGCAACTTACAGCTGAAAGGGTTAGATTGATGATTTTTAAATCAAAATCTAAGTGATGAAAGTTTTCTTTGTATTAGCATTAGATTTTCAATAGTTTTGAAGCATTTTTAGTTTATTTTGGAATTTTTCACATAGTTCCACAAAACCAGACTTTCTAAAAAACCCAGATAGTACCCACAAGACTTACCATTAACTGGCAGTGTCTTCAGCAAGTTCAAGCACTCATTAGGCGTGAGCTCAATCCCCAAGTTTCCCAAAACACTTTCAAGTTTACTGGTATCAACTTTATCTCCTTTGAAGGAAAAAACAATTGTTGACACACGGCAATTTTAGGACTTTATAATGATCTGAAATAATGAAGAAGCTGGCTCATATAAAGCCCTGTTCACTTTCACATTCTCACATATTCTAAGAGTGTTTAAGGACAGCGAGACAGAGTTTGTTCCTTGATTCTTCATAAAGACAGAGTGGTCTCCTAAGCCTAGTGGCAAGACACCACGGAAAAAAAATCAGATTCTGTCACTGGCCAGTAATTTAGGGCCAGTAATTTCGAGTCTTTTTCCTTTTAATGCTGAATCGTGATTATTTTAAAACAACTGTATCAACTTAATTTTCTAAAAATATTCATCTTCCTATATTCTGTGCCTGCCTAGATTTTGGCCATTTAAACCAGCAGTTATTAACTCAAAAGCTTGCAAGAGTCTGGAGGTAGAAGAAATGAGCGAAACTGGCTGTGGTGAAGTGGGCATCACAGGCCTTGTCCAATGAGAAAACACACCAGCTGTTGTTGTCAGGGAATGTAGGGCCAGTGTTACCAAATCTTAAAAAACTTGACTGCAGACTGGATTCAACTTATGGTGGCCAATTTGTGACCTCTGATTTCAACACTGGTTATGATCAGCATAATACTGCCAGAAATTACAGAAATTATAATTTATTACTCAAACATCACCACTTATTTTTGCGGCTGAATCTTAGATAATTCAAAGTTAAAGGCAGAAGAAAAGTTAAATGTAAATATTTCATTATAAATATGTAAAATGTCAGCATTAATAAATTTATAATATAATATTGGGAAAACACTGTGCAAAATATAACATAGGGTTAGAATTCGATTAAAAACGTTTTAGTAATGTCTTACTCACCTGAAAAAGGTTTCACTTCATTCATCAACTTTTCCAGACCAACCTTGCCATTAACTGTAAGACAAGGAATAAATTGGACAGAAACGTGAAACTAAGAAAATGATGTTGCATAGAGCAGAAAAATTTAGCAGTATTTATTTGCTCTAGAAAATTTAACCTTTTGCAGGTACCAACTTCCATTTATAAAATAAATATGTCATGTGGACCTAATGTACAGAATGGTGCCTATAGTTAATAATACTGTTTTGTAATCTGTAAGTTGCTAAGAGAGTAAATCTGAAACGTTTCATCACAAGAAAAACAATTTTATAACTGTGTATGGTGACGCATGTTAACTAGACTTATTGCGGTGATCGTTTTGCAATATATACAAATATTGAATCATTATGTTGTACAACTGAAACTAATCTAATGTTATATGTCAATTATACCTCAATTGAAAAAAAACAGAAGCTGGTTACACACACACACACACACATACACACACACACACGAACATGTAAACTTTTATTACATGCTTCAAAAGAAGGTAGAAGAGGAAAGGTGAAATCTCAAATAATAATAAACACAATTACTTCCTGAATATAATTAATATTCCAGTATCTATGATGTATTATGCTTTAGGGAAGAAAAGTAGCTAACCTCTGTTATTTAGTTTCTGAAAAGAAAGATGCTTCTTTTCTTTTCCCCTAGCAAAATAATACTCTATGTTGACGAGAAAACCTAGCTATAACCTAGGAATCATGGAATAAAATGTAGTTATTTCATGAATTCAACAAACTTTTCTTTTTGAGTACCCACAAAGTACCAGTAGAATGGCCAAAGAAGTATATCAATTATCAATAATGTTGCTAACTCTGTGGTGAGAAGAATTTTTGGACCTTATTCTTTGTCTATTAAAGTATTCCTGGCCACTAATAATTTCTGCATCAATACTAGCTACAGGTAAGGACAGAATGGAAAATGTGTGTTGATTCAACTGGACTATTAAAGGTAACCAAGCCTATTATGAAAAAAAGATGGGATCCTTGAAAAGGTTTACAACTTTTTGGTCTGGCTTTGTATATGAGTTGCTATGGTGAGGATTCAGACAAATCCTCTCACCTTTTTCTTTGCCTTTCTGGTTTATAGGTGCGAAAATTCTGACCCAAGATGAAAGAGCTCCTTGCCATAGGCCCTTTAATTGGGGATTTCCACTGAAAACTAGGTCTGCAGGGAATTCTCTTCCTTTAACATATTCCAAATTCATCTCAACTGAGGAGGAATCTATTAGCAAGAATTAAAACATTCTGTGTGACAAAGAAATTTTTTAAGCCAAAGTTGATTATTTTCCTTTATTTATAATGTTATTCTTACTCTTTTATATTTACTTCAATCAAAATTTTGGAAGGGCTTCTGCGAACATGGAGACTGGAACATGGTTTATATCCCTTTTACTACCACCTCCAAGCTGTTTGCCTTTCGAGAGTCAAATGCTGTTGGTCTCTACAGGTTGTTAGGGCTATGTCAAACCTTGGGCTCTGGCTGTGTCCTGGAAAAAAGAATGGGCATTCTCTCCCCCATTGACTAGGGAAGCACCAGAGGGGTGAGACAGCGTGGGAACAGAACTGGAAAGCTTGGCACTTAGAATCCTGAAGACCTTGACAAAGGTCAGTAAAGACTAGCATGAGGGCATTCCAATTCCTCTGACTCCTAAAACGCCAAGAAGGAGTAAAACAAGTGGGCAGAAACACTCATGCTCCTGAGGTGGCAAAAGTACAGAAATGCCAGAACAGAAACTTCCTTCCTTTCTATAAGTTCAAAAATAATCTGTCATGGGATGTGTAATCTTAAGTACTAAATAAAGAATCTTGAAATAGAAGGGAGATTAAGAGAAATTCTAGCCAAGTGCTAAATTATCCCAGTAAATCCTAGGAATTGATTATTCATGAGAATTGAGAATGCACAGTTGGGGAAGTAAAGACATTCTAAAGATCTCATGGTGAAGAGTCGGGGGAATGGTGAGAAGAATAAGAGTACAGTATTGTGTTTTGTTTTTTTTTTTGAGGAAGATTAGCCCTGAGCTAACTACTACCAATCCTCCTCTTTTTGCTGAGGAAGACTGGCCCTGAGCTAACATCCGTGCCTATCTTCCTCTAGTTTATATGTGGGATGCCTACCACAGCATGTCATGCCAAGTGGTGCCAGGTCCGCACCCAGGATCTGAACCAACGAACCCCGGGCAGCTGAGAGGCCAAATGTGTGCACTTAACCGCTGTGCCACTGGGCCGGCCCCTGTACAGTATTCTTTACTGTTTCGGTATTCTGTACTGCGGGAAGGGATAAAGACGAAATGAAACATCTGATGGGAAATGGTCTCTTGATGGGGAATAAAGTAGTATTGTGTTGCCAACAACAGTTAAGTCATATGTAGGATGACAGTGAATGAGAGAAAAAGGAATGTAAGAATTAATGGAATGTGACCCTCTTCTGGAATTTCAAAATTAATTTGGAAGAAAACAAGAATAACGAATGACACCTTAAACAAAGCAGTAATAATAAGCATAAAGAAAAGGAGAAAAAAAAAAGAAAAGAAATAATAAACATAAAATAAGATGAAATAAAGAATAATAAACATGAAATAAGAAAGAAAATTAAATATGTCCAGTATTACAACAACACTGAACAAACTGAAATTTCTTATTAAAAAGGAAAAATTGCCAGATGGATTTTAAAATAACCTAGCTATATGATGTTCTCAGGAAATATATTTCAACCAAATGATGAAGAAGATTGAAAACAAAGGAATGGGCAAAGATATATGAAGAATATTATAACAGTCATAAACCTATAAATACCAAACAGCTAAACAAAGCAAAGACTATTAATAATGTAAGAAGAATTTTATAAAAATACAATTAAAGTCAGAGACCTTATCCCTCTTAAAATGAGAAGATATAGTAGACAAAATACAAGTAAAGACATAAAGGAGTTGAATAATACCATCAATAAACTTGAGTTCATAATATATATAGGTCTATGTTTACCCTCTAGAGACTATAAATTGTTTTTCATATGCCTAACAAATTTACAAAAATTGATAAAGTACATAGCTATAATGAAAACTTTAACAAAATAGAGATTCTCTTTAACATGTCAGTGGCCATATTATCTGACATAACTCCAAAATTTATATATAATAAAAATTTTTAAAACTTAATAAGAAATTAAGAAATATACTTCTAGATACTAGATTATCCTTGCATCAATTATAAGCCATCTAGTAGAAAGTAATGACTAGGATAACTCTTCATATTGAAACCAAAGGCCTCAGTGAAGCTGCATTCAGAAGAAAATGTATGGCCTTAAACTCCTTCATTATTAAAGCAGAAAGACAAAGAGAAATTAAGCGCTCCTGGAGGTGGAAGGAGTGGAGGGAAAACAACCACTCCTCAAGTGGTTAAGTAACTCAGTAAAAAGTGGGCAAAGAATTTGAACAGATACTTCTCAAAAGGAGTATACAGATGGCTAATAAGCACTTGAAAAAGTACTCAGCATCATTAGTCATCAGGAAAATGTAAACAAAAACCATATTGAAATACCACTACACACTGACCAGAAGGACTAAAATGAAAAATATTGATAATACCAAACGTTGGTGAGGAGTGGAGCTAATAGAACTCTCAGGTATTGTTGGTGGGAGTATAAAATTGTACATTCATTTTGGAAAAATATCTGGTAGTTTCTTGTAAAACTTAAGACACATTTACCCTATGTTGCAGCATTTCTACTCCTAGGTATTTACCCAAGAGAAAAGAAAACACATGTCCACAAATGTCTTGTACAAGAATGTTCATAGCAGCTTTCACAGTCAAAAACTAGAAAAAGCCCACATCCAACAATAGTAGAAGCGATAAAGATGTTGTAGTATATTTATACAATAGAATGTTACTCAGCAATGAAAACAAAAATGAATTACTGATACAAGCAACAACGTAGACGAATCTAAAACACATATGCTGAGTAAAAGAAGCTGTGGTAGAACCTATTTTCCAAGGATGGCTGAGGTACATATTTCCCATCCAACATCCTCTTACAATGTGACTGATATACCTGCCACTAAGAGCTTGGACTGAATCTAGACAGGGTCTTGTGATTGCTTCAATAACAGCATTTGGTGGAAGTGATGCTCTGTAACTTCTGTGACTTCATGCTAGTTACAGATTTAGAGAAGAGCTGGCGTGAGTTGTCTGTAATAGACCTTTCTCCACAGGACCATGTGAAAGTGAGAGGCAGATAGGCAGACAAACACTGACTGAGATGGCTGTCTTGTAGAGGTCTACTCTAGCCATACTAAAAGAGAAAAAACACGAAAGATAGCCATTCCTATACTATACTATAAAGAGTATCCTTTTTATAGATAGTGATGTCATCTATTAGCAAATGTGGCCAAAGAAATGAATTGGAATTTGAGTAATACCTATCAATTCTCCCTAATCTATAGAGAGAATAAGGAAAGACTGAGTAAAAAAGCAGAGAGAGAGAGAGGGAGGGAGAGAGATCTTGAAATCCTTCTCTAATCTGCACAGGAAACCAGCAAGAGACAGGATGTGTTCTTCCTTTTAACCTAAGTTTTCCCTCTAAGCTTTTCAGAAAGTTTTCTTGATGCCAAATAAATAACTAACTTTTAAATAACTGTTATAGACAGGCTCATAAGATTAGCTTTTCTGTAGGGTTCAGTGGTATCTAAAATGCTCACCGTCAACTGGCAGGTTTCGTACTAGATCTTTAAGCTCCTTTTCAGTGAGGTTTATGCCCATGTTTCCCAAAACCGTATCCACTTTACTGGAATCAATCTTCCCTTCTTGTAAAAAGAGAGAGAGAGAGAAACAAAAGTTTAATGTCCCTAAAATGTGAGGTAAACCCTCAGTTCCTGAGGATTATGATTATCATTTTCATCCAAAACACCAAAGCCTATTGAGATCTTTACAAGAATACAAAGAATTAATAATGGAGTTATAATTAGAGCTTGTTTTAATCTTAATCTTAATGATAGGCATACCCATACCCAAAATTTAAAGGTGACTGAATAACTTCTCAGAGAATTCTGTCAAAATAACAATAAATCCAATGTTTCTAACAAACATTGTCTTGTTTTCATTGTGTTTATTTTTACAGTTACCCTCTAGTTTTGTTAAGGGATGCTGGTTTTCCATTACCATTAAAAAATTTTTCAATATAAGTTAAAAAGTAAATCAATTTAAATAAAAATATGAATAGTAGTACAAATGGTATGTGGATTTGGCAGACATCAGGAAGGTGTTATGTGAAGATGAAAGAGTGGGAACTTTGCTTAGACATGACCCCTCTCCTGGCCTGCTTCCTGTCCATCTCTTCAGTCTTATGTCCTCTCACTTCTTTGGAGCCTTTTCAGCAATTTATTTTTGTCTGAGTGTCAGATTAGTAGTCTTTGTGGCTGAATAAATAAACTGAGGGTGTGCTAATTTTCTCTTTACTTTTGCTATGCAATCTGGGCTCTGATAATTGCTTCCTTTGTCAAAGTTAGGAAAATCCCAAGAGAGCATGGGAATTCTTTCCAAGTTACACCATAAGAAATGATCTCCTAAAGAACAGATTGACCTATAAAAGAAACAAAAGTATGTAATAATATGTGTTAGGTAGCAGCGTTTACAATTTAATCACGAGGAAATAGAACAAATGCCAAACATTATGATCTCTGATTTGCATTTTATTAAGTTTCTCACTCACCTTTAAGAAACTTTATGCCATCCATCAACCTTTTTTGATAGACCTTTCCATCTATAAGAAAAAGCACTATTCAGATCATAGAAGTGCAATGTAGAGTTTCATATGAAACCGGCAAATTCAGTAAAACATATTTTGTGAATTGCCTTAGAAATTTTCTGGTTTACTGACAAATAATAAAATTATGTAGAGTGGAGATACTGGCACTCTACCATGCTGAAACATATCTTTTTCTTCTCTTTTATGACATCTTCGTTTTCCTCTATTAGATCACTCCCTTCTCTTTCTTTTTCTCATTTATTCTGGCTTAAATTTTAGATCTCAGTAGAATAAAAAGTAATAAAAGATATAATTGAAATCCTGATGATAGGAGTCACGATGACACAATTTTTGATTCTCAAACTAAAATTTAAATGGCACAGACAATCTTTTAAGATATAATAGGATTGTTAAAAATTATGTAACATGAATCATGAGATTTTTGACAAGCAATGAGAGAAATAATTTTAGAAGTTTTCACAATTTAACAATAAGCTTCCCTGGATGACTATATTTTTATTTGAAATACTCACTATCAACTGGCAGATTATTCACTAGTTCTGAGAGTTCTTTATCTGTGAGCTCTATCCCCATGTTTTCTAGAACCATTTCCACGTCATTGACATCAATTTCCTCACCTTCAAAAAAATAGAAATGATAACACATGAGATTTTTAAACTATCTATTCTAAATAATAATGAAATCTTCTATTACTATTTAATTATTAGCCCCAACTACTTAGTGCATAACAGAGTCAAATGAGTCCTGTTTGACTATAGTTCCTTGTGGAGAAGAATAAGTGTTTATTTCTTTAACTTTAGTAATAATAGAGACCAAATAACACAGTACATAGTAATGGATTTTCATAATTTTCTATTGTGGGAGATTACCAGCAGGTAATAAAACTTTAGTCTCTTTTTACTGCACTAAGATGTATTTTTAGTAAATATCTTTGATTAATTTGGAAAAAATGAGATTATAGAGCTTGTTAACAAAATGTGGCACTGTTTTATTGTTAAAACATAGATAAAAGTCAAAGTCCAGGAAATTAAACTACAGTCATTTTATTAAAAAATAGGATAATTTAAAAAGGAATAAAAAGTAACAGGAGAAAATATAAAATACGTGCAAAAAATCAGAATCATATGTATTTGGTAACTTCTTCCTCACCTATAATAGCTTCTACATTATCCATCAGTTTTTTCAGATCAATTTTCTCATAGGCTGTAAGACAAAGATTAATCAGATGGAAACAATAACACGGACTAAGAAAAAACACACAGAGGACAGGAAATCCTTTTTATCTAAGATTTATTGTTACTAGAAGATGACCAAGAAAAATAAATCCATTTAAAATGAGAACCAAGATTTAATAGTAAAAAAATGAATAAAAATGATCTAAAAAGGCTTTATTGAAGAATAAAAATGCAAATTTTGAAAACAAGTTTGTCTCATATTTAAGAAAATTCAGGTTATAATTACAAGTATTCCATAATTCTCTCTCTCTCTCTTTTTTTTCTGGTGAGGAAGATTGGCCCTTAGTTAACATCTGTTGCCAATCTTCCTTTTTTTTCCTTGAGGAAGATTGTCACTGAGCTAACATCTGTGCCAATCTTCTTCTATCTTGTATGTGGGTGGCCACCATAGCCTGGCTTGATGAGCAATGTGTAGGTCCACGCCCAGGATCCAAATCTGCAAACCCTGCGGAGCACACGAACTTCACCACTATGCCACCAGCTGGCCCCTATTCCATAATTCTTTGAACAAGCAATGAGTCAATGCTAACCTTTAAAAGTGTGTTGGGATGTTATTTTCCGAGAAAATCAGATTATTGTGCACTACAGCATCCTTCTGAACTTTGAAACAAGGCATAGTAAAAGTAACTTTTGAAAAATTATTGACTTTTTCCCAAGGGTTCCTTTAAATCTTTTGAAATCCAAATCATTCTATTTCAAATGGCCTATCATGTTATTACTCATGTAGAATTTTTCTTCTTCAATTATTAAATGGTCTAACTCTGTCAGGTCCACATTTGTTAGTGACTTTGTGTGATCTGAGTAGTTCTTCAATTTTACTTTCACTTATTTCTTGAAATTATGCATCTTTCTCAATATTCGCAAGGATTGTTGTCTTGTGTTGCCACAAGGTGATGCAATGGGCAGATAGAGACTAGCATTAAGCAGTGAGGAATGTTTGACAAGGACTAATTACATAAGAGATCAGTTTAGTGATCCCCTGAAACTAAATGGTGGATAAGAATTCAGCTAAAATCCTACCGTTTTACCACATCATTTGTATCCATCTTAAATTAAAAAAAATAAATCTAGTTAAAAAATTAGAATTTAAAACATACACTGCATAATAAATTAAAAAAATACACAAGCATGTAAAGAAAAAGTAAATGGTCCCTCCTTTTACCTCTCCTCACTACCATTACCACACCTCAGTATTACCAACAGTTTTGTGTATATCCTTCCAGACTTTTCTTATATTTATAAAAGTATACTATATATCTTAAAAAAATAATACTCTGCATATTATTCTTTAACTTTTTTGTTACAATTACCAAAAAAAAAAAAAAAAACCAGAGGGTATCTCAATATCCATTAATAGAGGAATGAGAAATGGCTGAATGAATTGGATTATACCCTGGATTGAAGTCAGTGATATATGGATCAGTGAGAAAAAACACATTACGTATCCTATTTTTGTAAAACCAGACAACAGTAATTCCTCCCCTTCTCACTAGCACCCATCTCCACTCCAAGATGTATAAAGAAATAGATTACAGTTTTCAAAGGAACAAAAATGAAGAGCCATTTTTTATTGTCACTTCTGAGTTCTTCTGAAACCTATTCTAATGCCTTTGAGCAACAAATAATTTAAATCTCTGAAAGAGTTGTAATAAGGCCTGCAAGCTCAACTTCTGTTTAAAATCACAGTGTTTTCCATAATACTCACCACTGAGAGGATCTTTCAGCAGATCAAGTTCCTTTTCTGTAAGCTTGACCTCCATAGCTTCTAAAACAGTATCCAGGTTATTTACATTAACCTTTCCTCCTTGAAAACATGAAAGGAAAGGACAAAAAAATGAAATGATTCTAAAATATTAGAAAGTTCATAAATATACATTATTATCTTTAACTAACAGATGTTATTGTTTTTTTCCCCAGGTTTACTCAGATAGAATTGACATATAATATTGTAAGTTTAAGGTATACAACATAAAGATTTGATATATCTGCAAATATACTGTGAAATGATTACCACAATAAGGTTAGTTAACAGATCCGACATCTCACATAGTTACAATTTTTTTTTTGTGGTGAGAACTGTTAAGATTTACTTTTAGTAACTTTCAAATATACAATACAGTATTGTTAACTATAGTCACCATGCTGTACATTACATTGCCAGAACTTATGCATCTTACAGCTGGAAGTTTGCATCCTTTGATCAACTTCACCCATTCCTTTCCCCAACCTCCCAACTCCTGGGAACCACCAATCAGGTCTGTTTCTATAAGTTTGGTTTTTTCATTTTTGAGGAAAATTAGCCCTGAGCTAACAACTGCCACCCATCCTCCTCTTTTTGCTGAGGAAGACTGGCCCTGAGCTAACATCCGTGCCCATCTTCCTCTACTTTATATGTGGGACGCCTACCACAGCATGGCTTGCCAAGCGGTGCCATGTCCGCACCCAGGATCTGAACCGGTGAAGCCTAGGCCACCGAAGCGGAACATGTGCACTTAACTGCTGAGCCACGGGCTGGCCCCTAAGTTTGATCTTTTTAGATTCCACATATAAGTGAGATTATACAGTATTTGTCTTTCTCTGTCTGACTTATTTCACTTAGCATAATGCCCTCAAATTTCATCCACGTTTTTGCAAATGGCAGGATTTCCTTCTTTTTATTGTTGAATAATATTCCATTGTGTATATATACATATATATATATATATATATATATATATACATATATATATACACACACATACTACATTTTCTTTATCCATTCATTCATCAGTAGACATTTAGGTTGTTTTCCATTTCTTGGCTATTGTAAATAATGCTGCAATGAACACAGGGGTGCAGATATCTCTTCAAAATAGTAACAGATGTTACATGAATTTTGTTGTTAGTGCTGTCTTTTTGATTCTGATTCCTAGTGACCTTGTGTACAGCAGAGCAGAACCCTACCTGGTCTTGTGCCATCCTCTCATCTTCCAGCGCTATATGAGACAATGCTCTGCTGCTATTCATAGGGTTTTCATGGCTAATTTTTTTGGAAGTGGGTGGCCAAGTCTTTCCGTCCTATCTGTCTTAGTCTGGAAGCTCTGCTGAAACCTGTCCACCATGGGTGACGCTGTTGGTATTTTAAATACCAGTGGCATAGCTTTCAGCATCAGAGCAATGTGATATCACAGTTACCCGGATATACACTGATAAAAGAGAATGACTTCATAACATAGTATAACTGTTAATAATTTCAAGCAAAGAACAAAACCACAAAAGATTTGTCCAACTCTTTACAAGCAGAGTTAGCATTTAAAGAGTTTAAAGCAGGTTAGAATTAGAACTTGTTTCCTCAAACCTTAAACATAACTGCCCAGGAAAAAGTTAGGTGGGACAAGGGCTAAGCTACAGTAAGTGGAGAGCACTACTCAATAATCTCCAAAAAGAAGTAGAGCCTGTAGAATTTGTTTCCTAAACTCTTATTCTCAGATTGTTTTCTCTGCTTCTGGTCACATTTTGGAATGAATGCCAAATCTTTTCCCTCTCTCCGTCTGACCTTTCGCCCCACTCCCCCTCCTCTTTCCTTCCTTCCTTTAATCTTTCTTTTATTTCTGTTCATATAAATTTTTTTTAGAGAAAGTTTGAAAAATGAAGTCCAGTAGAGAACTTCCTTCTAAGATAAATTAAAAGTTATTCCAGGAAAAACACGGATGTGATACAAGAAGCAAAATAAGGTATTATATTTTATTGATGTAAATTTAATGCTTGAGGATATTTCATACGCCTTCTCATGGTGCTTCTTACTCACTTTTATTACACCTCATATCCTTCAGCAACCTGTTTTGAAACACCTTTCCATGAGCTGTAAGAAAAGGCACAATTCAGATCTCTGGAAAATTGATATGAAGATTCACCAAAACATTACAAATTATATGATTGCAGAAAGATACATTTTAATCATTTACTTTAAAAATTAATCTATGTTATAGTCACAGAATATTGATATTTAAGAATATAAATATTTTCCACAGGGACAAACTTATCCACTCTTTGGTATTAGAGACATTTATGTTTAACTCTCCCATGGTGCAACTCTAAAAAATATTTCTTTCTTTTTATTCTACTGATGTCCTATTCCTCTCTTTTTCATCCTTTTTCATTGTTCACATTGTAAACCTAATACCAATCTGAGCAAGTAGTATTAGTCATTAGACAACTATATTGCAATGTAGTGATGACTCTCAAATTGTGCTTGAAGAGGTAATGACAGAATTTCTTTTCAAGTCAGAAGTGTCTTTCTATTAATTTATGGCATTTTTAATACAAAACTGTACTATATAAAGATTCTGAGCTGCTCACAGTGACCCATAAAATCAAGTTCGCTGGAAGTCAGGGTGGCATTTATGTGGCTTACCATCAATGGGCAATGTTTTTAGCAGTTGCTTGTGCTCCTTGTCTGTAAGCTCGATCCCCATGTCTTTTAGAATATTTTGTAGGTCACTGGAATCAATCTTTTCTCCTTTGAAAAGACGGAATATTCATAGGTAAAATATTAAGGGATAATCTATTTCCAATTATCCAAAAGTATACTTGTGCTGCTCTAGTCTTTTCTCTAAAACCAGAATGAAAAGGAAAGACAGAATGAAAGATTTCCTAATAAAAAGAATTAAATGTTAAATAAAAAATAGAATTTGTTCCTTAAGGTTAGCAAATAAAGTGTATTCCTAATACTGGGAATAACATCACACAGTACAAAAGCAAATCTAGTCGTATAATTATCCAAAGATTATGATGAGAGATGGTTAGTATAATAAAGTTACAATTAACAAAGTATGACATATTTTACTTTATTTTATTAAAACTATGTGATTAGCTACTTGCAATGGACTTAACTATTTTTAATGCTGCAGCCTGATTTTACTGTGTTCACCTAGTTTTGGGGTCTATAAATACTGGTGAATTACTTTCATTGAAAAAAAGCCTAAAAGAATATAAGATTTATTATGAAGAAACAGTCCTTCTGTGTTACTTATAAAACCCAGATAATGTTAGATTAATCTGTTGTCCAGTAGATGCAAATATTTTATCCAAACAAATATTGAAAATTTGTGAACTTTTAAGCCACTGATAGAATACAGGGAAAATACTATTAAACATTTTAGTGTAAATCACGATTTATTGCAAATCATTTATAACAAAATCGTACCCGTAAAAGCTTTTGCTTCTTCCTTCAAAGTTTTCAGAGCCACTTTATTATCAACTGTAACACAAAAGCATAATTTGAAGCCCATAAAATGACATAAAATAGTGTAAAAACACTGTCCTTCCTTCTGATTATAACATCTAGCAACAGCACTTATTAAGTGTACTGGACATTTTTCTAAGCACTTTAGTCATTCAATAAATATTTATTCAGAATATGTTAAGGGCACAGAGTAGAAGAAAAATTATAAACATTAAAATATACTTATTTCAAAATGTAAATTTTACTTTCTATCCCATAAATATAAAATCTTGTATTTGATAACGAAAAGATGGGATTCAAAAGTGGCTATTTTGTAGGGGCCAGATTTCCTGTTCTCAGAATTTGGAAGACTCCTCTATTGACCATGCTACCAGTGCCCAGCATACTATATTCCCAGCTTCTTTGTCACTGTTACTGTCTCATCTCCAACCTTGCCATCTTCCTCATAAAAAGTCCCCTTATTCCTTCCTTTCCACTGCTAAAGATACATAAACCGCAAAGCTAGAAAGCCAGTGATGTCTGATATGCTTACCACTGACCGGCAGGGTTTGCATCAGATCTTCAAGTTCCTTGTCAGTGAGCTTAATGCCCATGCTGCCTATAACGGTTTCCAGGTTTTTTATGTCAACCTCCCCTTAATCAGAAAGAGACAGGCCTGTCAGGAAAATTCAGTGACTCCAAAAAAGTTATTTTAAGTTTTTTACCCTTTGAGAGTCTGAGAAAAGCCATGTATCTTATAGTCCCACAAAGTACACAGTGCACATTTACAAACTGTGCATTAAGATTTAGAGGATGTGCCAAAGCCCATCTATGGACCTCATAAGGTTCATGAAACCTAGCCTTAAAACATCTGCTCCACAATGAAAAAAATCAATTCCTATGAATCATGATTACACTTTTCAACATAAAGAGCAAAGATTCACTGAATCAAATATATAAAGGAAATTGACAATGAAATTAAAATTAGGATCCTTTTCTTTAGCCCAATTTGGCAGAGGAGATTAGAGTAACTAATCAGTGAATACAAGACTGGAAACAATAAATAAAGGATTTTTGAACAGTACACAGGATTTTAAAAAAGCTCTCACTACAAGATGATAGCTAATATTGAGAATTTTTTTTTTGTGCCAGGCATCGTATTTCTTATTTTTTGTCATTCAATCTCAGAGAGTTATCATATAACGGTTTACTAAATTCCCTATATAAATAGCTCATCTTTTGCCTTTTTTCATGCAATTATTTCCTCCTTTTTACGTTTACAAACTCTCTTAGGAAAGTGTGGGATACATTTTTAAACAACAACATGGTTAATTATCTTACTAAGTGACAAATCTGTTTTAAAAAATCACATGGAATCTATATATACGAGAGCAGGATTCATAGTAAAATGATCAGACCAAATGCGGACCTCACATTCAACTGCCTTACTACTTCTCGCTCACATTTGAGATAATTCACACTAATCAGCGCTGTGTTCTTCCTTCCTTCCCTCCTTTCTTCTTTTTGATGCTTAAATTGTCCCAAATGTGACCAGTGGGAATCTATTCAAGCAGACTCTTGTTTCCTTTTGACACGCACACTTTAATCTTTGAATGCTACCTTGCTTTCTGAAACAAGATATCCCAGGCTCACTCTGTACTTTCGCTATCTCAGACCTGAAGCAGCCTTTCCCCAGTGAGCTTTGGAGCTCCTCTTAGTGAGAAAGTTATTTAGAAACCACAATCTGAGGACTAGTTGTGCTCATTGAAACGAAGATGTCATTGTTTACGGGCCCTTTCAAGCCTTTTCTAGGAAAGTATGGGAAATTCATATTTAAAACAAACAGGCAAACTACAAGCAAACAAGGGTGAGTCAGTGATAGCTTCAAACCAAATTTGCAATTATAAGATTTTCCCTAACTCTTTTGATTCTATATTTCTATCTCGTCTCTGAAACTGAAATACAGTAACCAGTTCCTAACAACATTAGCATATTTATTTGTCATACCATTACCTGTAATAGTCACAATATTGAATTCCAGCATTATTATTAATGATAAAACTATTGAATGAAGTTTAAGATTCTTTTGGAGTTCTTTTTGTAATTAGTCTATATCTCACTAAGTTTGTTTAATCATAGTACTGCATTTTAAAAGTCACTTGAAATAATTATTTTTCTCTATATGGTTCTATTACCAATTTGATATACAATTAGATTCATTTGATTATTTTCAATTTTAGAGTTTATTTTTCTTATATATCTAATTTTTCAAAATATTTAAACATTATCATGGTTTATAATTTAAGACTAAATAAGAAGTATACTCAGGGAAGTTTTGTTTCGATCCTGTTCAATCTATTACCTGAGTCCTTCTACAGGTAAACTATTTTTAAAAAATTAGTTTTCAATTTAACCTTCAGGTTGATTTTGCAAAAATAAGCAAATATCTGTCTACTTCACACATACACATGTAGACTCATTTCCTCTTCTTCTCTACATAAAATTTAGCATTCTATATTGAGGATTCTACATCTTGCTTTTGTCACTTAACAATATATCCTGGAGATCATGCATATAAATATAAATAACCAACAGCACACCAAACTTTTGATTGAACTTTCTGGCAGCTTTAAGAAATGTGCCAATGCAGGTTACAGATAAAATGATGTGATAATCCACTATGATAGCAGAAAGGGGAAAACTTTTAAACTTTTAATGATTTGCCTGATTTACTCTAAAGTTAGAAAAAAATTTTTAGTTAAAATTGGAAAAGTTATAGCAAATCTAGGCACAAGCTGGAATTCTATCAATATGAAACATACTCATGTCATTCTTTTCCTTTTCTTCTCCCTGATTTCTCCTCCCCACCCACCCTTCTTTTAGTACATAACCACTGCATTTTTTTTGGTCTCATCTCCTAACTTAACCCATAGTTTTCTCACTTGAATCAAAGGCAAACTTAGATATTTCTTAGTCTTTGTAGTCCCTGCGTCCTGTGTATATCCCCTCAGATTCTTATTTACCATTTTTGAACATCCCCAGCCATGATGTCGTTTTGTTCCCAACAGCCAGCACCCGTAGCTTTTATTTGGAAGATGCCCTCATGCTAACAAAGACTGCTTTGCCCTCATGTACAGAAAGCAAAGAAAGTGTGACTGGGTCAGCCAATTACTGAAGACAGGAAAGTATGAAAGCCCTTCCTTTGGGTTATGACAACTCTGAGGTATAATTTAGAGATCTTTAGTGGGATTAGTCTGAAGATATCAGGACTCTGAGATTAGGCCTTGCCTTGGCTCCTCCTTCTGTTATGCTTCTCCCACCCAGTTATAGGTTTCCTTTCGTAACACTTCCGTAACAGTTCATCTGCACAGGAATCCTAGTCTCAGGGTCTGCTTCTGAAAACCAGATCTAGGATTATTAGCATTGCAAGTGGTCCTGGGAAGTAGAGTCTAAAGTGGTGTATGCCTTGCTGGACATTTAGCAACAAAGATGCCATTGATGGTAAGTGGAGTGGTGAGAGCACCTGACACTCTGTACTGTTAAAACTGAGATATTCATCTCTGGTGAATTAATTGCAAAGGGATACAAGCGGAAGGGGATGCACTCGCTCAGCTGATATTCTCTGAAGTTCGAGAGATATGGGGAAATTATAATTATGACTGTGGAATTGGTTGGTTGTTGCTTAGCAACTTGAGGCATGGTGTAACATCAGAAGGCTTCCATGGCAGCAACTAAAAACTCCCTCATCTCCTATATGCTGTGGAGACAGTGCTGAAGACCAGGATCAGGACCTGACTGTAAGAACAGCAGAACTTCAGAGAAAGCTGAATTTGGAGTCTTGGCAAGTCTTCTACATGACAGTTACGACTCTGATAGGGAGTGGGACACTGAGACTTGACGTGGGAACATTTGGATGGATGCACTTGTTGCCTTAGTAAAGGCAGTGTTTCATGGACCCTCTTGAGGAACATGGTTATCTAGTGGATCTTCAGGTCTTATATAATAGATCCATTTCAGTATGCCCAACTTCTCTGAATTTTGTGTTCTCCCCTCAGCATACTGCCAAGGCAGTTCTAGCGTGTCCCCCTAATTTAATGTCGGACATTGTTTTCCAAGCTCCTAAGAGCCATCCCAGCAGTATATTGTCCACCCCAGGTATTTTTGGCAGGGCATTAAAACTGGAGTTATATGAGTATGCACCCATATCCACAAACTCTTCCTATCCAACTTCATTTTCCTCACTCTACTCTGGTTTACCACCTTTAAGATCTTCTCCCAGACATGCTCTCCTAATTCTTGCCAAAACATATTAGCCAGGTATTGTTGTTCCTTCTATGAATTACCTCTTTCTTCCCTTAGCAGGGCCAGCACTTCCTCAGTTGGATCATTCTGAGACTTAAATTTGTTATAGGTCTAGTAGCCAGGAAGGGAAACGGAGGAAAGAAAGTACTCTTGCAAGGCATTTCCTCAATTGAAGCTTCTGCACAGTTTTTGGGAAAGGAGCAGAGCTCCTATCTCTAGTAAGTAGAAGTAGCCCACCTTCATGAGACTAGAAGTTCAGGAGAATTGGGGGAGCAATCATGTGAATTTTTAACAAAGCTTAATTTTTCCTTTATTCTACTAACCAAGAGAAGACATTTATGAGAACTTCTCTAGAGAATAAGGGTCTTTCTACCAAGATATAACATTAAAATTTTGTTACCAAAACATGGGTACCACAAAATCCAACTCTAGACAAATATTTATAATAAGGCGTATAGTAACAGAATCAACATGAAAATTAGGGTTAATGTAAAATACAATTATTGGGTCAATAGGAATCTTAGATTTATAGTGGCTTTGTACTCACCTGTAATGGCTTTCACTCCTTCCATCACATTAGGTAGATCGATATTCCCATTCACTACAACAAAAAGTCCAAAAGAGACACATAATCAATAATATGAGTTTAGAAAAAAAATAAACTACTCACGTAGCATAATAAAGTCCAGCTAAATTTGACTCACATCACAATTTTAATTGACACTCCTTTAAATGTTTGGATTTCAAGCATTATGTCATATTAATAAGAAGGTCTGATGGAGACTATGGACTCTGGGACAAAGAAAATGTACTCAACTCAGGCTTTTGGAAGCCCTTCTGCTTTGTAACTATAGTTGAAGATTCCCTTGGTCAGATATTGGTCAGATATTGTGGCACTACCAAAAAGCTCAGATCGAGGCCCTAATCTAGCCTGGAGTCAATGAAAGCATCAGGTAGGGTTAATAGCTGAGATGAATAAAAGAATTAGAAGCTAAGCAGAAGAAAAAGGAGGACAAAGCATTTTTAACAAGAAGGAGATGAGTTAAGACAGTGATTCTCAAAGTACGGCTCCTGGACCAGCTGCATCAGCATCACTTGGAAACTTGTTAGAAATGGAAATTCTAGGGCCCTATCTAAAACCTACTGAATTAGAAACTCTGGGGATGTGGCCTAGGAATTTGTGGTTTAACAAGCCCTCTGGGTGATTTTGATGCACACTCAAGTTTGAGAACCACTAGGTTAAGAAAAATGAAAGTCTGGGACAGCATGCTATATATGACCAATTTAATATGGCTGGAAGATAAAATGCAAGGTGAGGAGAAAAGAGATCAGGCCAGAGACACAGTTTGAGGTTGAGAGTCTTATAAACTATCACAAGGATATTACTGTTCATCTTTTGGGTTGTGGGAATAAATAAAGAGTTCTAAGAGGGGAGTAACATGGTCAGAATTTGATTTGATGGACCATTTTACCAGCAATATGAAGAACAAATTTGAAGGAGATAAGAATGTAGGTTGAGAGATTAACTAGAATGCTGTTGTAATGTCCAAGCTGGAGATGAAAAGAATCTGAACTTAGGCAGTGAAATCACTTGTTGAGGGTCAGGGATGAATCTGAGAAATCCTTAGGATTAAAAAATTACCAAGTGTTATAATAGGGTATTCCAAATAAAACTTAAGGAGAAGAAGTACAAGTAGGTTATAATGACAGATGACTGAGTAGATGATACTGTAATAAGGAATGCAAAAGTAGAAGTTAATTTATTGAGAAAGAAACTTTGCTTTGGGATATTAAAATTAAAAAACATCTGCAAGGGAAAACCTAAATACAGATGTCTAATGTGAGAGGTTGGGCCTAAAAATAAAGATTCTGAAGTGTTCATTACAGAGGTATAATTAAAAAAATTTTTTTAAAAGATTTTATTTTTCCTTTTTCTCCCAAAGCCCCCAAGTACATAGTTGTGGGTCCTTCCAGTTGTGGCATGTGGGACGGAGCCCCAGCACGGCCCAATGAGCAGCGCCATGTCCGTGCCCAGGGTCTGAACTGGGGAAACCCTGGGCTACCGAAGTGCAGTGCGCGAACCCAATCACTTGGCCACGGGGCTGGCCCCTAAAAAAATTTTTTTCTGAGCTGATATCAGGAAAGTGGATGAAATCTTTCATAGAATGTATAAAAGTGCAACGAATATTGAGCTAATGAAGGAATCTTGAGAATCCAAGCTCTTAAGAGGCTGTTGAAAGAAGAGTTGTTGAAACAGAGAAGGGAGAGACAAATAGGAATGAGGAAAATCAGGAGAGTGGACCATATAAAAGTGAGACAGAAGAGGTGAGAGCTTCAAGAAGAAAGAACCCACCAAAGAAGAAAGGTGCCACAGATATTAAATAATACCTAAATCATGTCCATAGGATTTTGCTATTAGATCACTGTTTAGCTAACTTGGTGAAAGTGGGTTTACCAAGAGTGGCAAGAGCAGATAGCAGATTGCAATGAACAGAGGAACAAATGACAGGTAAATATATGGATTCTGTTGACTTCTCGATACTTTTTCCTAATTTGCTTTCTTACTAATCTAGATCTATTAATGATCCTACTGGCTCCCTGAAATTCCTGATATCTATAGGGAAAGATGATATTTATTTTAGATTAATTACTCTTACCTTAACACTGGGCTCACCTCTAAGTTTTTAAACATTTATTTGGCACCAATTATGACTATTTTTCAAGACTATCACATAGAAGATAAAGATAACAAGGTGCCCTAAGGATATCTCTAGTGCTCACCATCAACCTGTAGTTTTTCTGATAGTTCAGCAAGTTCCTCTCCTGTGAGCTTGATTCCCATATTTTCCAAACTAGTATGGAGGTTATTCTTCTTAATCTTCCCTTCTTAGGAAAGAGATAGCAAAGCAAAATATAAAAAAGTCATATAATAGCAAAATAAGAGAAACATTTAAAAAGTATTATTATTATTAACTTTAATGACCACATATTATTAAAACAAAATAAAAGAGACAAAAGCTCATGCTTTTGTTATCATTACATTTCAACAATGCTGAAACCCCAAATAGACTTGTTCACTTGAAGGTTCAAATAGAAAGTCAATAGAAGAGTCAGAATTAGAATTGTATTTCCTTTAATCTATTCTTGTTGACAAGCCTGCATAATGAAACTGTGTTAAGGGTCTTGAACAAGTAGAACTGCAGACCACCAACTTAATTCCTCTGCACAAAAGTAGAGTTATTTTTGTTTATTGACTTGACATATTAGTTATCACTGCAGCTGATCACTGCTCTTTAATAAAGGCCGGGTCTTTTTTCCTTGTTGTTGGGGTTGATTTTTCCTTTTGAGAAAAAGTTGAAAAAGAAATCTAAGAATATACTGGACCTCCTTCCAAGAGAAAGTATATGTTAATAGCAGATAAAATGTAGTTGTGCTAAAAGAATCATAAATGACAAATTATATAGGGCCAAGATTCATACTTGAATGATACGTCTAGACAACTTAGGTAATATGATAAGTCTGGAGAACCTAGATAATATGCCTTATAATTTTGTTTCTTACTTACCTTTGAGAGACTTTATACTCTTCAATAATCTATTACGATATAACTTTCCAGCAGCTGTAAGAAAAGCCATAATTTATGTAATGGTAAAATTAATACGTAAGTCAAAAAATAGCATGAATTAAATAATTTCAGAAAACTTAAAATCTTTTATCCGTATACAAAAATCAATTGTACTTTTGTATAGTAGCAATGAGCAACTCAAAAATGAAACTAAGAAAGCAATTCCATTTACAAGAGCATTAAAAAGAATAAAATGCTTAAGAAGAAATTTAACAAAAGAAGTGCAAATATTATACTCTAAAAGTGATAAAACATTGTAGAAAGAAATTAAAGAAGACCTAAATAAATGAAAAGACATTCCATGTTCAAGGATTGGAAGACTTAATATTGTGAAGATGGCAATACTCTCCAAATTGATCTATAGAGTTAATGCAATCTTATCAAAATTCCAACTGGTGTTTGCAGAAATTGACAAGCTGATACTAAAATTCATATGGTAATGCAGGGACCCCAAATAGCCAAAATAATCTTGGAAAGAAAAAAGTTGGGAGACCCACACATTCCAATTTAAAAACTACAAAGTTACAGTAATTGAAATAGGGGGTGGGGTTCTGACATAAGACTAGACATATAATTCAATGGAATAGAATTGAGAGTCCAGAAATAAACCTTCCAATTTATGGTCAATTGATTTTTGACAAGGGTGCCAACATCATTCAACGAGGGAAAGAATAGTCTTTTCAACAAATGGTGATGGGACAACCAGATATCCATGTGCAAAAGAATATTCTTTTTGATCCCCACCTCACATCATATATAAAAATTAACTCAAAACGGATCAAAGATCTAAACATAAGAACTAAAACTATAAAACTTTTAGAAGAAAACATAGGTGTAAATTTTCTTGACCTTAGATTAGGCAATGTTTTTTTTTAGATATGACACCCAAAGCACAAGTAACAAAAGAAAAAAAACCAGACAAACTGGACATCACCAAAATTAAAAACTTTTGTGCATCAAAAGACATCATCAAGAAAGTGAAAAGACAATCCATAGAATGGGATAAAACTTTTGCAACTCATATATCTGATAAGGGACTTGTATCTAGAATATATAAAGAACTCCTACAACTCAATAATAAAAAGACCACAAAGTTTAAAAGTGGACAAAGGATATGAATAGACTTTTCTCCAAAGGAGATTATACAAACAGCCAATATGCACATGAAAAGATGCTCAACATCATTAGTCACCAGGGAAATGCAAATCAAAACCAGAATAAGATACCACTTCACACCCAATAGGATATAATCAAAGGACAGATAATAACAAGTATTGACAAGGATGTGGAGAAATTGGAACTGTCATACAAGTGCTGGTGGAAATATAAAGTAGTGCAGCCACTTTGGAAAACAGCCTAGCTTTCTCAAAAGTTTAAACATAGAGTTACCATATGACCCATCAATTCTATTCCTAGGTATATACGTAAGACAAACAAAAACCTATATCCACATAAAAACTTGTACATGGGGGTTGGCCTGGTGGTATAGTGGTTAAGTTCACACCCTGCTTTGGTGACCCAGGGTTTGCAGGTTTGGATCCCAAGCATGGACCTACAAACTGCTCATCAAGCCATACTGTGGTGGCACCCCACATACAAAATAGGGGAAGACTGGCACAGATATTAGCTCAGTGATGATCTTCCTCAAGCTAAAAGAGGAAGATTGGAAATAGATATTAGCTCAGGCAAATCTTCCTCGCAAAAAAACAAAAACAAGAAAACAAAACTTGTATATGAATGTTCATAGGAGCATTATTTATAATAGATAAAATGTGGAAACAACTGAAATGTCCATTAACCAATGAATGGATAAATAAAGCGTGATATATCCATACAATAGAACATTATTCAGCAATAAAAAGAAACAAAGTATTAATACATAACACAACAGGGATGAACTTGGAAAACACTGTGCTAAGTGAAACTAATTACAAAGGACCACATATTGTATGATTCCACTGTTACAAAACGTCCAGAATAGGCAAATCAGTGGAGACAGAAAATAGATTAGTGGCTGCCAAGGGCTGAGGGTGATGAAGGAATTGGAAGCTGACTGCTAATGAGTGCAGGGTATCTTTGGGATAATAAAAATGTTCTAAAATTGACTGTGGTGATGGATGCACAACCTTGTGAATATCCTAGAATCCATTGAATTGCACACTTTATTAGGTTAATTGTATAGTATATGAATATATCTCAGTAATGTTGTTAAAAATTGCTTCACCCAAATTTTCAGCTTTATTTAACAATAAAATTAAGGAAGAACAGCCTTTATCAATATGATAAACTTGTCCCGTCCAGTAGGCCTACTATGCCAAAACATAAATATATCTTTACTTTCTTTTTAATTCTGACTTTAACTTTAATTTCTTCCATTGCTGTCTTATCTCTCTTTTTTCCTTGTTATGATATAAGGCAATTAGCGGCCTGATGGGTAACAATAGACATTTGTTAACTCTGATGGCAACTTATACCTGAAGAGTTGCTTGGATTCTAAAATAAACTCTAAATGACACTGCTAGTTTTTATATGTAACTTAAATTTTAGTTTTTAAAAAATGTTCTTCTATCATGTTTTAGAAGAAATTAAAATTTTCATAGAGATCCACAAAAATCCAAGCTTCCTGGAAGCTCCCACAGATACTTGTATGGCTCACCATCAGTTGGCAGTACTTTCAGCAGCTTCTCTAATTCCTTATCCGTGAGCTCAATTCCAAGATTCTCCAAAATACTTTTTAGATCACTAGACTCAATCTTCTCACCTTGAAAAATAGGAGATTGGGTATGTATGCATACATCATCATTTGAGATAACAGCAATTATTTCTAACTACAAGTTATTCTATGATGATTAATACCATCCCAATTTTCAGGTTGAAGACTAAAGTAAAGACAAAACTTTTCAACTATAGAATCAATATATAGGTTAAATCAAATTTATTTCCTTAATAAAAACAAGAAAGTTTCTCCTAAAATTAGGGAAATACTACTTCCAGAATAAAATATGATCAGTTAATTAAAAAAAGATGCTTATACGAATTTTTCTTCAAAAAGTATTTTACTTTAAAAAATAAGAATTATATGATGAATACAATGAAGACATTATCTAGATCATTTTTAGGTTTCACTGTCTGATTTGCTGTGCCACTGCATAGATTTTTCTGTGCCATTCTACACTGTGGTTATTAAACATTGGTGAATTGAATCATATTATTGTCATAAACAACAGAGATGATAGAATTTGAAAGCAAGAAATGGTATGGTACTTTCATTCTAAAAACTTAGATAATTTTATATCAATATATGGAGCATTAGAGGCAAATATTTCATTAATAAGTATAGAGAAATACTAGAATTTACAAGTCAATGATAGAATAATGGGAAATATCTGGGAAAAAATTAATGTAGATAACTGCAATCCTAATTTTACAGTTACTTTTCACTCACCTGTAAAATCTAAGACTTTTTCCATCAGTGTTTCTAGAGGAATTTTCTTATCAACTACAGGAGAGGATCAAAATCACATTGAGGTATAATACAAAAGTTTGTGAAAAAACAGGAATAACTTTTGCACTTATTATGTGTTAGGCACCGTCCTAATTGTTTTTTATATTTATTTAACAAATACTTATCGAACATACTTTCTAGATTACTATTTTACCCAATTTTTACGCTTTTAACAAGTAGGAAAAAAAGAAAATTCTAATTATGAAAACCATACAATTGCACTGATCCAATTTCTGGACTATAATGTCTCAAACTTATCTGTGTTAGTAAGGGGAACTAATTCAGAAGTGGGTACATCTCAAGAATCTGCATTCTTGTATTCAAAATTTGAAAGGCTCTACTACTAACCATGACACTTGTAGAGAGCATGAAAGTCACACATATCACAAATATCAAAGACCAAGGTTTTAATTTCGACTTTGTTAACTGGATGCTCATAAACTCAAATGACATTCTCTATGTTTTGGTCATTGACAGTATCACCACACTGCTCTTCCCCCTTCTTCTTAAGGAAAATGGCATTTCTTCCCTTATATATACTCAAAGGTTCTTTTAACTAAACTCTCTGTAGGATAAATATCGTATCTGATAACATGCTTACCACCAACATGTATATTTTGAGTCAGATCTTTAAGTTCCGTATCTGCAAGTTTGACACCCAGGTTATTCAGAATGGTGTCCAGGTTGTTGATATTGACCTTCCCACCTAAGTAAAGTAACAATCCATAAAGAATATTAAATAACTCCAAAAGAGAAGTTCTTAAACTTTTTTGATACACATATCCCATTGTGAATTTCTTGAGCAGTATATGATTACTCACAAAGTTCACACACTATTTCTGGCAGATTATGTACTCACTAAAGCCTATTGAAGGATTCCCTCAAAATCTACTAACTTAAGGTTAAGAATGTTTGCTCTAAAGGGAAAAAATAAACTAACTAATGTTCAACAATTTTAGCACAGAGACCAAATATTTTAAGCCTACAAAAAAGTCAACTTTGAAGTTAGAATTAAGGCCACTTCCTTTGAGACTTGTCTTGGGGGACAGCCTACACAACACAAAGTTTTAAATGGCATTCAATAAATGCTCAGAGAATTCTGGTTTTGGAGGCAAACATTCTTTACTTCTAAGTGATATGTGGGTCGACTTTTGATGAATGAACTCCCAGCTTAATTTTTTTCCTGCTACTTACTAAATTACTTGAATTGCTGCTGATCATTTTTGCTTTTTTTTTTCTCTACAAACTCAAAATTTGATATTTCTTTTCCTGAAAAGTTTGGAAAAATCAAAAGAGTGTGTGGGACTTCAATTCCAAAATAGAACATGAGATTCATCTGCTAAAGTAAAGACTGAGCTCTAAAAAAGTATAAATTTACAATCAGTATATATGACAGATGGCAGCATTCACAAATTCAACATCTTGAAAACAGTAGAATCTGAGGATCGTATATTCATTTGCATTCTCATTATGTTTCTCACTCACCTTTAAGAGACTTCACACCTTCTAGCAACCTGTTCTTAAAGATCTTGTTATCATCTATAAAAAGGGGCACAATTCAGATCATAGAGAAATGATGCAGCTATTCACTAAAATTATTTCAGGAAAGCTGAGATTTTCATGATTTGCTGCAGAAATTTCTCACATTAAAATAAAATTTGAGAGAAAATTAGGGAAAATTTGTAATACAGTGAATCCACCCAAAAGTTAGCACACAAGGCACTCTACAATATGCACAACTCTCTTTTTGCGTGTGTGATTCCGCCCCTCACCTTTTATCCCCTTCTAGTTTAACATCATCTCTTTTCCTTTCTTATTTCCCACAATCACCTATACGTATCTAAGAGGTAAGGGTAACCTTAGAAATTTCTTCCCCTTGATGGCATGATTCAACGTGATAGAGATGTTTATTCCAAAACTAAGAGCTAAACTGCAAAGATGGGAATTTCCCTCAGGAACATTTAAATTATCTTGAGACGGGTTTTTATTTTTTTTGCATCTTAGCAAATGGGAATAGTTTGAGTTTTCAAAAAAAGCTTAAAAGAACCCTTTAAGGTCACATCAGTATTTGAAATGCTTACCATTTAAAGGCAGGTTTTTCACCAGTTCCAAGCATTCCTTATCTGTGAGCTCTATTCCAATGTTTTCCAGAATAGTTTTCACATCTTTGACATCAACCTCCCCTCCTTAAAAAAGACAGACATCATTACATATATGAATTTAAAGGTTCATCTAATGATTCCAAATAGGGAAAATTAGTCTATGGCTATAGCATGACTAGGTACAGGATGAAGAGCAAAGGCTAATGAGACGTCTCCAAGTACACTGACTACGACATTCACTGAAAAATAATTTGATCTCTGAATGCTAATAAAAGAAAGTACAATCATAATGACAATGGCAAGGCAACTCTGAACCCAGTGAAATCTACATTAAGTATCTCTTTTTTCAATTAGAATATTGTAATGACAGTCAAATAATTGTATCAACTAAGGTAAGATCTGTTAGTCTCATCTTTATAAGTTATCAGGAGTCTTTACAAAAGGACTTCACCTATTATTTTACTGATATAGAATTTGGCTGTTCTAAAAAAGAAGAGAGTAAAATATATAAATGAAAAATACATCAGAAAATAAGTGAATTGCTAGTAATTGTTTTAAACAGTTAATAAATAAGGAGATAAATGCCATAACTACCATGGCAATTAAGGGATAATGAAAAAATATAATTACTGTAAATACTAAACATCTTAGATTTATAAATTCTTACTTACCTGTAGTAGCTTTTACTCTGTCCATCACCTGTTTCAGACCAACCTTCCCATTAGCTATAAGAAAAGACTCAATGAAGATAATATCACAAGCTCAGAAAACAAACTTCAGACATATATTTTGTCGAAACAATCCCACTCAAATTTTCCTACAGTTTTATTTTACCTGAGATCATTTATTAAATGGCTGGATCTCATGTAAGTAAGGTGATCTACATTAATATAAAGGTTTCTTATATTTTAGAATCTGGGTCAGGAAAAGTATACTTTTCCTAGTATTTGGAAGCCATTATAAGCCACAGCTGAAGATATTATTGGAGTTAGCCAGGTAGTCTGGTAACTTTACTTCATGTACCAACAAACAGAACCTGGTATGTTCTAAGAGGTTCGTGCAGGAGGTAATGCATGAACTATATCAGTGTATTAGTAGAGAGTGATCAGAAATACAGAAGGATAGAAGAGACTTCACATGGAGGAAAGGTTGAGAAAAGAGAAAGGCTAGGGATATCCTGCTATGTATGTGAAACTACAAGTAGTTGAACATGACTTGAGGAAAAAATGAGAGAAGATATGATATCAGAAGGCAGATGGAGCTCGAAGGTCTTGTGCACTATGATAAGAATCTTTGAATTCATTGTAGAGTGAAGATTTCAGTAGACAGAGGGATGGACAGAACAATGGGCCAGTTGACTTCATTTACAGATTTTCATATCCCTATTCTTTTGCTTTCTTGTTAATCTACATCTATTAGAATCCTAACAGCACCCTCTGTAATTATTGGTATATCTAAGGAAAGATAATGCTGATTTCAGATTAATTATAATGAAGCTCCAAGATTCATTCTGTCTTTAACATTGGGCTCTCCTCCAAATTTTCTAACAGGTATCTGTCAATTAAATATATTTTTTAAACATATGAGATATAAGGCAAAGACAGAAAGATGCCCTGAAGATACCTATAGTGCTCACCATCAACTTGTAGGTTTTCTGACAGATTTGCAAGTTCCTCTTCTGTGAGCTCGATTCCCAATCTTTCTAGAGTACTGTCCAGGTTATTTACATGAACCTTGCCCCCTTAGGAAAGAGACAATGTAGAAACATGAAAAAAGTGTACTGTACCAAAATTTTGCATGAGTAATATTATTTTTAGTATCTTGAATGACTGTGGTGGTTTTGTACCTCATCAACTTAGCTAAGTTGAAACTATATTTCCAAGAATTTCCTTTCCTGTATGGCTTTATTTATTTATAATTTATCATTTACTTATTTTTAAAGACAATTGCATAATTGCTTCTAGACCCATAATCAGACTCAAGGTCCAGCAGGCCTCTGGTAGTAAGATACCAAGTCTGACTTGTAAAGAGTTGGAATACACTTCAAAAGAACTGTAAAAGTTTTACTAATTTATATGGTTAGAATAGATCCCAAGGGTTTTTGACCTGGGTGGAAAACAGATAATGTTAGATTGAGCTGAATTTGATGATATGGGTGTATTATAAGCAGAGAGTCTGAATTCATTGTGTTAGCTCAAGTGGCTAGGAATGGCTCTAACAGTTTGCCGAGTCATTTGACTGAAGCTGAGGCCCAAAGATGGCCTATACTAAGTGAAGCTGAAATGTCTGAACTTCCTTGGTACACTATAGAGCAACATTGTTCAAAGAAACATAATTTAATCCACAAATGTGAGCCACAGATGTAGTTTTAAATTTGCTAAGAGTCATATTAAAAAAGTAAAAAGATAGATGAAATAAATTTTAATAAATTTTATTTAATCCAATATTTCTAACAAATTATCATTTCAAATGTAACCAATATAAAAATGATTAATTAGCTATTTTACATTTTTTGTGCTAAGACTTTGAAGTTCAGTGTGTATTTTACACTTACAGCACATCTCAATTTGGACTAGTCACATTTCAAGTGTTCAGTAATTACATGTGGCTAGTGGCTAGTGTACTGGATGGCACAGTTATAGAAGAAAGTATCTAAAAGAATGCGAGGATCAGAATGCTGGAGTGGAATTATCACGTAAGACCTGCTCACTCACCTTCTCACTGTGTTCCCTGGGAAGGTCTAGAGCAGGGCTTCAAATGAGGCTTTGGAGACCACGCCAGTCTGAAGTCACTATTCAACTCTGCCATTGCAGTGCAAGAGCAGCCACAGACAGTACATACACAAGAGTGTCTGTGTTCCAACAGAGCTCTACCTTTATTTATAAAACATGTGGCAGATTGGATTTAGCCCAAAGTCTGTAGTTTCCTGACCTCTGATCTAGAGGATATCTTTATCAAGGCTGCAAGAAATACATTCATTAGGAGATCCCAGCATCCTTGACAAGCTCTGTGGTAGCTATTCTCTGTAGGCCAGAAATGATGGTGGAAATGCTGCCAATGAACCAAGTTCTCTGAATTCAGTGTTGATAATGGAATCTTGGGGTGGAAGGAGCCAAGTTGTGGCACTAAATTGCCAGAGACAAGATGGATATGGTTACCATAAAAGGCAGTAGGGTCAAGGCAGCAATCAGAATGGTTTAACTCATAAAGATATTTGGCATTGCATAAATAATTGTGGTACCCCCAGAGCAGAAACAGAGGGACAGCCTACTAAAGATTTGCTTGGTCTGAATAAGCAAAAAAGTTCTAGATCTGGTGAACAAAAGTCTACCTTGAATAACAACGAAAGAGAGCTATAGCCCCTCAATCAATTCCCAGACGTTGAACCAATTAACAAGAGTTAGAGCCCCTTGATTGAAGAGGAGAACAGGTCTCCTTGAAGATGGCATCTGGAGACTTATCTCAGGATAACTGTGCATTGGAGAAGGGGATATAAGCAGACTTTTTTTGGGAAGTACTGTACACTGGCTCTGAACCAAAATGTGACCGTGGTCCACCATCCAGAGTAGGGGTTTATGGGAGTAAGGTAAGCATTATCATAGAGTTTTGGCTTGGTTCCGTCACACAATAGATCTGGAGGATCATTGAAATGACCCTGTGGTCATTTCCCCAATTCCAGATGCAGAGTTGGAATAGACATACTGAGCAATTGGCAGAATTCCCACATATGTTCCCTGACTTGAGGATAAGTGCTGTTATATTAGGAAAGATCCAGTAAAATTGTCTTCACTTACCCAAATTATAAACCAAAAGCAATATGACATTTCTTAAGAGGTAGCAGAGATTAGTACTACCATAAAGAATTTGAAAGATGCAAGGGTGGTGATTCTTATCATATTCCCATTCAATTTGCCTATATGATCTGTGCAGAAGACAGCTCTTAGAGAATGACAATTGATTATTGCAAACTTAATTAGGTGGTCGCTCCAATTGCAGCTACTATTCCAGATGTGGTTTTGTTACTGATGCAAATCAACAATATCTCCTGACACCTAGTATGTAGTCATTGATCTGGTGAATGCTTTTCTTCTTTATGCTTATTAGTAAGAACCATATGAAGCAGTTTTCTTTCAGCTGGTACAGCTAGCAATATACCTTTACTGTCCTATCTCAGGGCTATATCAACTCTTCAGTCCTAGGTCATAATCTAATCTGTAGGGACCTTGATCTCCTCTTCATTCCATAACACATCATGCTGGCCCATTATACTGATGATGAAATGCTGATTGGACCTGGAGAGCAGGCAGTAGCACCTAATCTAGATAATTTGGTAGGGCACATGCATGTCAAAAGGTTGAAAACAAAGCCCACAAAAATTCAAGGACTTACTACTTTGGTTAAATTCCAAAGGTCCTGCTGTCTAGGACAATTAAAAAATAACCCTTCTAAGGTGATACGGAAGCTGGATGGAGCCTTTGGAAGAACACTGACAAGAGATTTTCACATTCTGAGGTATATGGGGTAACTATTCAAGTTCAAAACTGATTCAGCTTGAACTACAAAGCCTGACTTATGGCCTACCAAACATACATTGTACATCTGCTTTGCCATTAAAGTAAGGAATCTCTCTTGAGATAAAGAATGCATACTTCCCCTCCTATGCCCTACTGGTAACAACGCTCTATTGGTAATGCCCAGATTAGTCTCTTTCCTGTTATCATGGTCATGTTGATCTGCTAATTTGCAACCAAATACCTATTTGAAAATCTATCCTGAATGCGTTTAATGTACCTTCTTTGTTCTAAAAAGATATAAGACTGTACTGAAACCCATGCTTCTCTGGAACGCCTTGTAAGGCCTTCCTGGGTTATAATCCTCACTCTGGCTCATAATAAACTCACCCCAATTTTTATTTACAGGTTGGTTATAGACTATTTGTGTCAACAACACTATGGGTGAATCCAGCAAAGATCTTTAGGATTTTTGATCAAGGATATGACATTCTCTGCAGATAATTATTTTACTTTTGAGAAACAGTTTCTAGCTTGCTACCTAGCCCTCAGGAGGCTGAATACTTGCCCAATGATCACTAAGTTACCATGCAAACTGAGCTGCCCATCTTGAAGTAGATATTATCTGACCCATCAAATCATAAAGTTGGGCATGCATGACAGCACCCTGTTAACAAATGAAAGTGTTTTATACAGGATTGGGCTTAAGCAGATCCTGAAAGCATAAGTAAACTGCATGAGCAAGGAGCCCAGATGCCCATGCCCACTCCTCTTTGTATATTGCCTCTTTTCTTTCAATCTATAGCTAGGTTTTGTGAAGAATTCTCCATGGGAGGAATGACATCATCAAAATGGTGATATAGGAGTTTTCTACTGTCTCACCCTCTAAGAACAATCACCATGGACAAGAGAGCCTTTGAAGTCCAGGAGTCCAGTGGAGAAGTTCTGTCACACCTTTGGAGCAAAAAACCCAAGACTGATACACTGAAGAGAGTAAGAGGAACAGTTTCACTTTACCCTCATCAGTCCTCCCCAAAGACAGCACAGTGCAATGCCAAGAGAGACCTTCTAGGCTCATGAATTCTCCCATGGAGGGAAGCAAGAGCATGTGAGTGAGCACCCAGCTTCCCCAGCTACGCAAAATGCTGTCAAATGATGCTCACCCCATCCAAATCACTGAGTCATGAACTGCATGACTCGGGGGAAGACAGCAGCCAAGTCATGGAATAAAAAGTATCAAAGGGATGTGGATCCTACTAACTGCTTGGCAGATTCCACCAGGAAGCCCACCCATGAGCCTTTGGAGATGCCTGAAGATCTGCCCAACTGGCCATGGGCACCCCTAATGCTCTGTGCACCTCCCCCATCCCTGTGGTTGGCTCCCTGTGTGTGCCCCCAACAGCAGCAAGAGCAAGCCTTTGCAGATGGCTAATGATCATGCTCAGAAAGCCAGCCCAACTAAGCATGATGGGAAAAAGCACAGAAACCCGAGAATTTAGATCACTCAGGGAAAGCAAACAAGAGGCTGTCAGCATCTGGCCTGGCTTTGTAGGCATACAATCTTAAGAATTCCCCCTCAAGAGGGAACAAGAAGAATGGAGCGGACATATCTGTAGAAATGGTCTGAGAAAGCCTCAGAATCCTTTACAGGATTGATGGAGGCATTTCTCTCCTGAAGCCAGTCAGAAAATACTGGAGGAGGTGATGCTTCTTCAAATGTGAAGACAGCAACACAAGGCTTCAAGGAACACGAAAAATCAAGGAAACATGACACCACCAAAGGAACACAATAGTAACCAACCCCAAAGAAATGGAGATATGTGATTTGTCCAATAAAAATTTCAAAGTAGTTGTTTTAAGGAAGCTCAGTGAGCTACCAGAAAATACAGAAAGACAATTAAATGAAATCAGGAAAACACTAAAGAAGAAAATGAGAGGTTTAATAGAGATAGAAATCATGAAAAAGAGCCAAATAGAAAATCTAGAACTGAAGAATACAATGAATGAAATAAAAAATGCAACAGAGAGCATTAACAGAAGACTGGATCAAACAGAAGAAAGAATCTGTGTGGTAGAAGAAAGATCATTTGAAATTACCCAGTTAGAGGAGGAAAAAGAGTGAAGAAAACCTATATGAACTACGGGATGCCAGTAAGAGAAACAATCTATGTAATACTGAGTCCCAGAAGGAGTAGAGAGAGAGAGAAAGGGGCAGAATGCTTATTTAAAGAAATAAAGGATGAGAAGTTCCCAAATCTGGCAAGAGAGTTGGACAGCCAAGTTCATAAGATTCTTAGGTCCCCCCAAAACTTCAACCACAAATGAATTTCTCCAAGATGGATTATAGTAAAACTGTCTAAAATCAAAGACAGAGATTCTGGGGATTGAATATACAGTATGGTGACTATATTTAACAATATCATATTATATACTTGAAAGTTTCTAAGAGAGTAGATCTCAAGTATTTTCACCAAAAAAAAATTATGAGAGGTGATGGATGTGATAATCATTCTGCAATATAGTGTGCATCAGGCCAACATGTTACATGTCAATTGCATATCAACTAAGTGGGAAAAAAAAAAAAAGAATATCCTATGACCAATTGACTGAAGAAAGGAAAAAACTGGGTCTGGGCCACTTTGTCTTCCTCTTGCTATGAATCAACAAGTAAAGAAAGGGATGACTTTGCTGGTTGGAGTGACTGATCCTGACCAATACAGGGAAATTGAGCTACTACCTCTCAAGAATCTAGGACACCTATTGGTATTCCCTTGTCCTGTGATTAAAGTTAGTTGTAAATTAAACAACTCAATACAATACAGGCGGGACTGATAATGGTCCTTATCTTTCAGGAGTAAACTTTAGGATCACCCACCAGGTAAGGAGGTAGGAGCAGCCAAAGGGTTTAGTGAGGTAAAAAGCAATATAAAATGTAAGTGAAAGAAGAAAGATATTATGCCAGCTACAACCACACGACCAGTTGCTAAAAGACTGCACAGAATTGTAATACTTATGAGTATTTCTATATTACTTTCATATAAACATATTTGTGAATATTTTAGCCAATTCTTTTCTTTTTATCTCCTCTCCCATCCAACCATCATTTATATAAGATTTGTTAAGAGTAGGTAGCCTTATATGTCATTGTTTAAGTTAGAGGATGTCAAGGAGGAATGTGACTCAATTAGAAAATAAATGGATATAATCTAGAGATGGATGAAGTGATAGCAGGGATTTTCTGAGAAGAGGGTTAGCATAGTTTTGGTTGTATGAGAAATGGTCATTATTGTTTTTATTTGAAATATAAGAAGAGTTAAAGAGGTATGTATGGGTGCCAAATTGCCAAGGGATGGATGGTGATAGATTTTCATTGTGTCAAATTAGTTAAGCTGGAATTATATTTATATAAATTCCTTATATACTTCTGGCTGGCCACAGAAAATTTTGCATGATATTTGGAAGGCAGAAGTGAAGCAGCTGCTATTACAGTTTAAAGGCTGGTGCAGGGAAGGTGCCATTACAGCTCACGATATTGTTGTTAATCTCCTGGTTCACCTTATTGGCATGGGATGGAAGCCAACTAGAACTTCTGGCTCTTGCCACATCTCCTTTAGACACTCCTAGTCTTGGGCTAGGCACATGTACATCTCCATGAAGAAGAATGCCAGTTTCTTTTGCAAGTCACTCATATTCTTAAGGGTGGGGGAAGTAAGATAGATAGACATAGATTCCAGTTTGTACTCATGGGTTCTAGTTTGTCCATGTTCTCTCCAACTCTTTCATGTCCAGTTTTTCTTTCAGAGTGCTGGCCTTTGTGACTACAGTGAATTCAGGACTTTAGGACCACCACCAGAAGGAAAAACAACACTTTTCATATACTTCTTCACCAGCTCTCACAATTGTATAAAGTCTAATCCTTATAATAAATCCCTTATTTTATGTCACTCATAGAGATTTTACTTCCCTAACAAGTCTTAACTAATATGATGGCCATACATTCTTTTAAAATAAAACAAAACAAAAAATACAATGTATTTTTTGTCTTTGTATAACTACCATTTAAACAAAGCTAAAATCCCAAATAGACTTATCCAAGTATACAGAGAAAGTCAATAAAATAATTAAAATTAAATCTTGTCTTAGTAAGAAAACAATATTAAGGGGTTTAGGCAAGTGGCACTGTAGACAACAAACCTAGTACTTGTACACAATAAATAGAGGCTATATATATATTTTTTGCCCAAGTTTCTATATTAACTACTTATACAATTGACCAAATTCCTTGGGTAAAGCTAATCCCTCACTTCACTTATGCTGTGCTTTCCTGGGTTTGATTGTTTTTTGAGGGGAAGGGAATGTACAGAGTTGAAAAAACTGCAAGAGTGGAACTTCCTACTATATAATATATGCTGTTATCAGGTAAAATGTGGATAGACTGAAAGAATTATAAATAAGGAATTATACCAAAGTGAGGAGCCAGGATTCATAATTAAATGGTATAAAGTTGGGGAATGTCAGACAATATGACTTTTAATTGGGTTTCTTACTCACTGTTGAGAGACTTCAGACCCTTCAGCAACCTCTTTTCATATACCTTTCCAGCAGCTGTAAGAAAAAACATAATTTATGTAATGGTGAAACTAACATGAAATCACAAAGGTGGCATGAATTAAATAATTTCAGAAATAACATTTTAAGAAGAGTTGTCTCTAATTTTTATTCTATTTCGTCTAAAACAACGAAGTTAGGGAAGAGAAACTTTCTCATTGTGACAAACCTTTCCATTCCGGTACCTGAGAGTCAATTTGCTCAAACATAACTATTGCTTCCCTTTCTTTTTACTTCTGCTTCCTATCTTCATTTTATCATTGATCTCTTATTTTTCTTTTTTTCTTTATGATATAAGCAAGTTAGAGGCTTGAGGGGTAACAACACGTTTAGCTGTTAATGTCAACTTTTGTCTGAAGGGTTACTTAACTTCCAATATAAATTCTAAATGACAATGACAAGGTTCCTGTATAACTTAGAACTCATTGTCCTTAATATTTTTTTCTTTCTCACTTTTAGAGGAAAATAAACAGAAACAGAATTTGAGATTTTTACACAGACTTAAAGACACAAATAAATGAGGTTCCTAGATGGCCTCTGTGATTTCTATGATGGCTCACCATCAATTGGCAGTGTTTCCAGCAGCTTCTCTTTTTCCTTATCTGTGAGCTCAATCCCCAGGTTTCCCAGGACATTTTTGAGGTCACTAGAATCAATCTTTTCTCCTTTCAAAAGAGTGGATGGTAGACATAGGAACTTTAGGTACTATGGTATTATCTTAAGTTATAAAATATGTTCTATGCAGGTTAATGATACCCCAATTTCAAGAGGAAGGGCTAAGTAAAAAGAAATATTCTCAATTGTCAAATCACTGGGCATGTCTTATGGTATTTATAAAATACTATATTTAATATAAATTAACTAGAATTTTCCCTAAAGTTGGAAAATACAACTTCCAGAATAAAATCTGATCAATAAATTAAGATAACAGATTCTTATACAAAATTATTCTTCAAAAATATTTGATCCTTGGGTGAGAATTAGTTGATGATTTCAGTGAATACATTATCTTGATTATTTCTAAGCTTCACCATGTCATTTTTCTCTTTTTCTATATGTTTCTGGATTATGTTTATTTGAACACTTGTGAAGCAAGGCATATTGTTGGCAAAAACAACATAGAATTTAGGATTTCAAACTGACATATAGTCTTGTATCCTATTGCAAAAGTTTTCCTAATGTCAGTCTGAGGGACTTTTAGATGCATATATTTCATAATAAAACATCAGAATTTAGTAAGATACTAGAAATACCACCGAAGAACAAAATTTTTTTTATTGCAGTAACATTGGATTATAACACTATATAACTTTCAGATGTACATCGTAATATATTTCCAATTCTCTGTAGATTACATCATGTTCATTACCCAAAGACTATAATCCATCACCACACGTGTGCCCAGCCACCCCCTTCCCCCTCCTCCCTCCCCCCTTCCCCTCTGGTAACCACCAATCCAATCTCTGTTGCTATGTGTTTGTTTGTCATTGTTTTTATCATCTACTTATGAGTGAGATCATATGGTGTTTGACTTTCTCCCTCTGAAAAATATGGAATGCTTCACGAATTTGCGTGTCATTCTTGCTGAAGAACAAAATTTAATATAAAAGACTGAAATCCCAGATTTACATCAACTTCTCATTTACCTGTAAAAGCTTTCACTTTATTCATCAATGTTTCTAGAGAAATCTTCTTGTCAACTGTAGGGGAAGATTAAAGTCACACTGAGATAAAAAGACTCACAATATATTGTGAAAGACAGCATGGGAGTAAAGATAATAAATCCTCATTTATTACGTGCCAGGCACTATCCTAGGTGCCTGACATATACCTGCTTAAGAAATATTTATGAAATAATATTTTCTATGCTATTATTTTATCCAACGTATATTACCTTCAGTAGCATTAAAAAGAAAACCTAAGTCTAAAAAAAAACCATTGCAATAATATAAATTTTACGTATAGTTCTTAAAAAATTTTTTTTATTAGGTATACTTGACATACAACATTATATTACTTTCAGGTATACAACGTAATGATTTGACATTTGTATATATCGTGAAATGATCACAATAAGTCTATTTAATAACTATGTCATTATACATAGTCACAGAATTTTTTTTCTTGTAATGAGAACTTTGTTCTCAATTATTTTGTTGAGGTCATAGTGGTTTATAACATCAAGAAATTTCAGGTATACATTATTATTTATCAGTTTCTGTATAGACTGCATTGTGCTCACCACGAACAGTCTAATTTTTAGCCATCACCATATATATGTGCCCCTTTTCTCCTTTTACCCATCCCCCAACCCCCTTCTTCTCTGGTAACCATTAATCTGTTCTCTTTATCCATTTATTTGTTTATCTTCTACAGATGAGTGAAGTCATGCGGTGTTTGCCTTTCTTTGCCTGGCTTATTTCACTTAACATAATACTCTCAAGGTCCATCTATGTTGTTGCAAATGGGATGATTTTGTCTCGTTTTATGGCTGAGTAATATTCCATTGTATATATACACCACATCTTCTTTATCCATTCATCCCTTGATGGGCACTTGGGTTGCTTCTGTGTCTTGGCTATTGTGAATAATGCTGCAATGAACATAGGGGTGCACAAATCTCTTTGAATTATTGATTTCAAGTTCTTTGGATAAATACTGAGTAGTGCAATAGCTGGATCATATGGTAAATATCCATTTTTAATTTTTTGAGAAATCTCCAGACTATTTTTCATAGTGACTGCACCAGTTTTATTCCCACCAGCAGTGTATGAGGGTTCCCTTTTCTCCACATTCTCTCCAACATTTGCTATTTTTTGTCTTGTTAATTATATCCATTCTGACAGGTGATATCTCATTGTAGTTTTGATTTGCATTTCTCTAATAATCAGTGATGTTGAACATCTTTTCACGTGCCTGTTGGCCATCTGTATATCTTTTTTGGAAAAATCTACTCATCTCTTCTGCCAATTATTTGATTGAGTTGTTTGTTTTGTTGTTGTTGAGTTGTATGAGATCTTTACATATTTTGGAAATTAACCCCATATGATTTGGTTATCCAATAGGATATTATCCCATGGGATATATGATTTGCAAATATTTGCTCCCAATTGGTGCATTGTCTTTTCGTTTTGTTCATGGTTTCCATTGCCTTGCAGAAGCTTTTTAGTCTGATGTAGTCCCATTTGTTTATTTTTTCTTTTGTTTCCCTTGTTTGAGTAGACATGGTATTCAAAATGATACTGCAAAGACCAATGTCAAGAGTGTACTTCTTGTATTTTCTTCTAGGAGTTTTATGGGTTTAGGTCTTACATTCAAGTCTTTAATCCATTTTAGTTAATTTTTGTGTATGGTGTAATAAAATGGTCTACTTTCATTTTGCATGTGGCTGTTCAGTTTACCCAACACTATTTACTGCAGAGATTTTCCTTGTTTCATTGTATCTTCTTGGTTCCTTTGTCAAAGATTAGCTGTCCATAAACATGTGGTTTTATTTCTGGGCTTTCAATTCTGTTCCACTGATGTGTATGTCTGTTTGTGTGCCAGTACCATGCTGTTTTGATTACTACAGCTTTGTAGTATATTTTGAAGTCACTGATTGTGGTGCCTCCAGCTTTGTTCTTTTTTCTCAGGATTGCTTTGGCTATTTGGGATATTTTGTTGTTCCATATAAATTTTAGGATTCTTTGTTCTATTTCTGTGAAGAATGTCACTGGGATTCTGATTGGGATTGCATTGAATCTGTAGATTGCCTTACGTAATATTGACATTTTAACTAAGTTTATTCTTCCAATCCATGAGCACAGAATATCCTTCCATTTCTTTATGTCATCTTTGATTTCTTTTAATAATATCTTATAATTTTCAATGTAAAGGTCTGTCACCTCCTTGGTTAAATTTATTCCTAGATATTTTATTCTTTTTGTCGCAATTGTAAATGGGATTGTATTCCTGAGTTCTCCTTCTGTTAGTTCATTATTAGAGTATAGAAATGCAACTAATTTTTGTAAGTTGATTTTGTACCCTGTAACTTTGCTGTAGGTGTTGATTATTTCTAATAGTTTTCTGATGGATTATTTAGGATTTTCTATATATAAAATCACATCATCTGCAAACAGTAAGTTTCACTTCTTCAAGGCCAATTTGGATTTCTTTTTCTTGTCTAATTGCTCTGGCCAAAACCTCCAGTACTACGTTGAGTAGGACTGGTGAGAGTGGGTGGGCACCTTTGTCTTGTTCCTGTTCTCAGAGGGGTGGCTTTCATTTTTTCACCATTAAGTATGATATTGGCTGTGGGTTTGTCATATATGGCCTTTATTATGTTGAGGTACTTTCCTTCAGTACCCATTTTATTTAGAGTTTTTTCATCATAAATGGATGTTGGATCTTGTCAAATGTTTTCTCTGCATCTATTGAGATGATCACGTGATTTTTATTCCTCATTTTGTTAATCTGATGTATCACATTGATTGATTTGTGAATGCTGAACCATCCCTGCATCCCTGGTATAAATCCCACTTGATCACAGTGTATGATCCTTTTAGTATATTGCTGTATTTGGTTTCCCAATATTTTGTTGAGTTTTTTTACATCTATGTTCATCACCAATATGGGCCTGTAATTTTCCTTCCTTGTGTTGTCTTTGTCTGGTTTTGGTATCAGGGTGATGTTAGCCTCATAGAATGAGTTAGAAAGTGTTCAATCATGAGTTTTTTGGGCTAGTTTGAGAAGGATAGGTATTAAATCTTCCTTGAATGTTTGGTAGAATTCTCCAGGGAAGCCATCTAGTCCTGGACTTTTGTTTTTTGGGTGGTTTGTGATTATTGTTTCAGATCTTTACTTGTGATTGGTCTGTTCAGATTCTCTATTTCTTCTTGTTTCAGTTTTGGGAGCTTGTATGAGTCTAAAAATTTATCCATTTCTTCTGGGTTATCCAATTAGTTGGCATATAGTTTTTCTTAGTATTCTCTTATAATCCTTTGTATTTCTGTGGTACCTATTGTAATTTCTCCTCTTTTATTTTTAATCTTATTTATTTGAGCCTTCTCTCTTTTTTTCTTAGTGAGTCTGGCTAAGGGTTCGTCAATTTTTTTTTATTTCTCAAAGAAACAGCTCTTAGTTTCATCAATCCTTTTTACTGTTTTTTAGTATCTATTTCATTTATTTCTGCTCTAGTTTTTATTGTTTTCCTCCTTCTGCTGACTTTGGGCGTTGTATTTTCTTTCTTGTCTAGTTCTGTTAGGTGTAGTTTAAGATTACTTATTTGACATTTTTCTTGTTTGTTGAGGTGGGCCTGTATTGCTATGAATTTCCCTCTTAGAACTGCTTTTGCTGCATCCCATAAGAGTTGATATGTTGTATTTTCATTTTCATTTGTCTCCAGATATTTTTTTATTTATTCTTTGATTGCTCCAATGAGCCAATGGTTGTTTAGTCTCCACATATTTGTGACTTTCCCAGCTTTTTTCTTGCAGTTGATTTCTAGTTTCATTGGATTGTGGTTGGAAAAGATGCTTATATGATTTCAATCTTTTTAAGTTTCTGAGGCTTGCCTTGTTTCCCAACATATGATCTATTTTTCAGAATGTTCCATGGGCACTTGAGAACAGTGTGTAACCTGCTGTTTTTGGATGGAATGTTCTCTATATATATATCTATTAAGTCCATCTGGTCTAGGTTTTCATTTAAGTTCACCATTTCCTTGTTGATTTTCTTTCTGGATTATCTATCCATTGACTTAAGCGGGGTGTTGAGGTCCTCTTCTATTATTGTGTTGCTGTCAACTTCTCCCTTTAGGTTTGTTAATAGTTGCTTTATATACTTTGTTGCTCTTGTGTTAGGGGCATATATATTGATAAGTCTTATGTCCTGTTGGTGGAATATCCCTTTTATCATTATATACTGCCTCTCTTTGCCCCTCATTGTGTTTTTTATCTTGAAGTCTACTTTGTCTGATATAAGTATGGCAATACCTGTTTCTTTTGCTTGCCATTTGCTTGGAGTATTGTCTTCCATCCCTTCACTCTGAGCCTGTGTTTATCTTCAGAGCTGAGGTGTGTTTCCTGAAGGCAGCATATTCTTGGGTCTTGTTTTTTAACTCATTCAGTTACTCTGTGTCTTTTGTTTTTCAATCCATTTACATTTAGAGTGATTCTTTTTCTTTTTTCTTTTTTTTTTTAAAGATTGGCACCTGAGCTCACATCTGTTGCCAACCTTGTTCTTTTTTTTTTCTTCTTCTTCTCCCCAAAGCCCCCCAGTACACAGTTGTATATTCTAGTTGCAGGTCCTTCTGGTTGTGATATGTGGGATGCCACCTCAGCATGGCCTGACGAGTGGTGCTATATCTGTCCCTGGGATCTGAGCCAGCCAAACCCCAGGTCACCAAAGTGGAGTGTGTGAACTTAACCACTCAGCCATGAGGCTGGCCCCTAGAGTGATTATTACATGAGGGTTTAATACTGCTATTTTATCTCTTGTTTTCTGGTTTTTCTATACTTCAGTTGTTTCTCTTCTGTTATATTTATGACTACCATTTCAGTTTGGTGATTTTCTCAGCTGTGTATTAATGATTTGTGTCCCTGTTCTGACTTTTATTTTAGTGGTTACCATGAGGTTTGGATGAGAGATCTCGTAGATGAGATAGTTCATTCTATGATAGCCTCTTATCTCCATTAACATAACTGGGTTCCATCCCTTTCCTCTTCCCCTTCTGAGTTATTGTTGTCACAAATTATTCTGTTTTGTGTTGTTTGTGACTGAATTGAAGTATTCAGAGTTATTTTTGATGCTTTCATTCCCTTTATCTTTTATGTTATAATTGTTTGCTAACCTGTTCTGATAGAGAACTGCAATTTTCTGATATTCTATTAACTTCTTGCTCAAGGCTTTATAAACTTTTGCCATTTTGTTTCAGGTATGAGGGTATCCTTGATCATTTCTTGTAGAGAGGTCTAGTGGCAATGAACTCCATCAGCTTTTGTTTATCTGGGAAAGCTTTTATTTTTCCATCGTATCTAAAGGAGAGTTTCACTGGATAGAGTATTCTTGGCTGAAAGTTTGTGTCTTTCAGTATTTTGAATATATCATTCTTTTCTCTCCTATCCTGTAAGATTTCTGCTGAGAAATCCACTGAAAGCCTGATAGGGGTTCCTTTGTAGATTATTCTCTTCTGCTGGCTGCCCTTAATACTTTTTCTTTGTCATTTATTTTTGCCAGTTTTACTATTATATGACTTGGAAGTCTTTTTACATTGATGAAACTAGGAGTTTTATTGACCTCATGTACTTGTAAATCCAGTTCCTTCCCCAGGTTTGGGAAGTTCTCAGCTATTATTTCTTTGAACAAACTCTTTGCTCCCTTCTCCCTCTGGAATATCTATAATCATTATGTTGCATTTCCTATTTTAGTTGGATATTTCTTGAAGAATTCCTTTATTGTTTTTTAAGTCTTAGTTCTCTCTCCTCCATCTGAAGCATTTCTGTTTCTGTCCTCCAAATCACTAATTCTGTCCTCCACAATGTCAGCTTTGTTTTTTAAGAATTCTAGATCATTTTTTAATATCATTCATTGTGTTCTTCATCTCCAGAATTTCTGTTTGTTTGATTTTCTGTTTGATTTTTCTTTGGTGAAGAATTCTTTCTGCTCATTAATTTTATTGCTGAGCTCATTGAACTGTCTTTCTGAGTTTTCTTGTAACTTGTGGAGTTTCTTTACAACAAGTATTTTGAATTCTCCGTCATTTAAAATCCAAATTTCTGTGACTTCAGGATTGGTTTCTGGAGACCTGTCATTTTCCTTTGGCTCTGAAATGTTACTGTAGTTTTTCATGGTGTTTGATGAACTGATCCTCTGCCAAGGCATTTGTAGTAGTATCAGGTCACAGATTCTAACTGCCACCCCTGCAGGGTTGGGGTAGGAGCTGTTTTTTCTGAACCTGCTGTGTATACTGGAAGTTGTGTCAGTAGTGCTCCTCTGCATTTGCCCACTGGCCACAGCCACTTGGCAGGTCACACACACACGCATAGGTGCTCTGGTGCAGGACCACTGCCTTGGCTGTGGACTGGCTGAGTTGGTGCGCTAGGTGGAAGGGGAGGGGTACTTTCTTTCACGTGCACAGGCCCACTCTCTGCTTGCGGGTGGTTTGCCTGAGCTGTCATGCTTGGTGGGGGCTCCTCCATGAGGGCTGAGTTGCACTACTCAGTGTTGAGTGTTCCTATGAGCAGGGCTGCTGTGGCATGGTGGGCACTCCCATGGGCCAGGCTGCAACTCTGAAAGCAAAAGTGTTCACGTGAAGGTCTGCCTGCTTCCCTGCCTCCTCTTACAGTTGTGCCAGTTGCTGTGTAAGGACCTGCAACCTAGATCACTGCCACTGGGGAGGGGGAGTGATCTGTTCACCTCCTTCCACTGCTTCCCAGGGACCCAGTGCCCCCACCTTCAGATGTATGGCTATGTGGACCTCTCCGATGTCCTATTGTTGTTTGTAGGGAATCCTCTGTTGATTAACAAATGCCCATTTAGTTATAACTTAGGGAGGAGAGACTCAGGGAACAACTTACTCCACCATGATGCTGACATCACTCGTCCAATGAGAACTTTTAAGACTTACTCTCTCAGCGACTTTCAAATATGCAATACAGTATTATTAACTATAGTCACCATGATGTACATTGTATCCACATAACTTATTTATTTTATAACTGGAAGTTTGTACCTTTTGACACCCTTCATCCATTTGGCCCACCCCCCCCCATCCCTTGCCTCTGGCAACTACTAATCTGTTTTCTGTATCTATAAGTTATAGTTCTATAATATCTCCAACTCATATGTGTTAGTAATGGGAAGAAATTCAGAAGTACCATCATCTAAAAAGCCTGGATTTTTCTATTCAAAATCTGGGAGACTGTCTACTACTGGCCATAATAGGAGTAGATGATATAAAAGACACACATACAAAGTGCAATGTTTTCATATTGATTTTGGTAACTGGCTGCTTACATGCTTTGCTTACATTTATAGCTTGTAGATTACTGTCAGGGTAGATTACCATTCCTAAACTCTCTTTCCCTAGCAACTTTATTGCCAATGGTTCTTATACCTAAACTTTCCCAGTGTCTAAATATGGTATCTGAAGACTTGCTCACCATCAACAGGGAGATTTTGAGTCAGATCCCTAAGTTCCTCATCTGCGAGCTTGATTCCCATATTATCCAGTATGGTGCTCAAGTTGTTGACATTGACGTTCCCACCTAAGGAAAGTCAGTCCATGAAGAAAATTACATACCTCCAAAAGAGAGGTTCTTAAACCTTTTGGAAATACATATCCTGTTGTGAATTTTATGAGTTGTATGGCAGTGCTCATGAAGATTGCATATAATTTCAGGAGGGTCATGTATTCTCTAAAACCTATTCACAGACCTCTCCCCTCAGTATCTACTAGGGTTAATAATGCTTGTTCTAAAATTTGAAAAAAAACCCATCAATTTTAGTAATGAGGCTAAGGACTTTATGCCTATAAAGCCAGCTATAAAGTTAGAATTAAGGTCACTTCCCTTGAGACTTCTCTTGGGGACCAGCCTATACAACACAAACTTTTAAATAGCATTGAATAAATGCTAAGAGGACTCTAGGTCTGGAGGCAAAGATTCTTTACTTTTGAACAATATGTTTTGATAACTGAACTCTCAGCTTACTTTTAAAAAATTATTTTATTGAGGTCATACTGGCTTATAAAATTGTGTAAATTTCAGGTGTACATTATTATATATCAGTTTCTGTATAGACTGCATTGTGTTCACTACCAATAGTCTAGTTTTTATCTGTCATCATACTTATGTGCTCCTTTCCCCCATACCCCCTGCCCTCAACCCCTCCCCCTCTGGTAACCACTAAACTGTTCTCCTTATCTACGTGTGTTTGTTTATTTTCCACATATGAGTGCAATCATACAGTATTTGTCTTTCTCTGTCTGACTTATTTCGCTTAGCATAACACCTCAGTTTAGTTTTTATCTGAGACTGATTAAATTCCCTGATTCACTGCTAATCCTTTCTGATACTTTTTGCTATGAAAACTTGAAATTTGATATTTCTTTTCTTGAAAAGCTTGGAAAATTCTTGAGACAGTGGAGGACTTTCTTCCTAGATATAAAGTAGAAGATCAGCTATTAAAGTGAAGATTGATCTTCACTGGGAGCATAAATTTTCAATCAGTATATATAAAAGACAGCAGTATTCACCAATTTATTATCTTGGAAACAGTATAAATATGAGGATCCCATATTTGTCTCAGTTCTCATTATACTTCTCACCTTTAAGAGACTTCACAACTTCTAGTAACCTGTTTTGAAAGATCTTGTCATCATCTGTCAGAAAAGGTAGAATTTAAGGCACAGAGAAATGTAGATAATCACTAGAATACTCTCAGGAAAACCGACTTTTCAGGATTTTCACTAGAAACTTCTCTTATTATAAAATTTGAGAGAAAATTGGGGAAATTTAGCACAGCAGGCACTCTACAACATACACATCTCTTTTCTTCTTCCCAATTCTGCCTTTATGCACTTCTAAACTATCAATGTTTGTCTTCTTTCCACAAATCCCAGACTAACCTTTTTTTTCCACTCTTGATAATATTATTCACCATAATGGGGATGCTGTTTCCCAAACTAAAAGTGCATAGATAGGGATTCACTTACATAAATGGACATTCTAAATATATATTCTTTGAAATGGACTTTCTATTTTCCAAAGCTTAAGAAATGGAGATAATTTTAGAGGTTCTCACAGAGAAGTCTAAAAGCTCTTTTTAGTTACATCAGTATTTGAAATGCTTACCATCAAAAGGCAGATTTTTCACCAGTTCCAAACCTTCTTTATCTTTGAGCTCTATTCCCATGTTTTCCAGAACAGTGTTTACATCATTGATATCAACATTTCCTCCTTAATAAAAGGATGGAAATCATGACATACATATAATTTAAGTATAATCAAATGATTGCAAATAATGAAACTAATTTAAGATGCCTATACAATTCAAGTATGGGCTTGGGAAAGTAACGGCCACTGAGCTCAGGCCAAGTACACAGAGATAATGTCATTCACAGAAACAATTTGTTTTCTAAAGTGTGATAAGAGACAGCACTCTCAATGGTGGCCATGAGAATATGCCTGTAGGACTTCCAACTACAGATAACATAATTGACCAAGGGTCTCAGCTGTGGCTTTTCATCTATGTTTTTGCACTAAGGCCATGCCTCCTACAGGGTTCTCCTGGCCAATGACTGAGTGCAGCAGAGATACCAAGGGAGGCCTATTCTTGGGAGATATGAGATGGCTGACTTTGGCCAGAATGTTCCTTGAAGGCCTTGTCAGACCTTCCTTAGATGGCATGGCAATCTAGGATGCTTCCACCCAACTTTTCTTCCTTTCTCTTTCACTTGGTGTCAGATTTGCATTGCAGTCTGACAGTCTCCCAGCTTTTTCAGGTTCCCTCCCCATTTTCTCTTACACAGGCATTTCCCCTAATAATATCCTTGCAAGTTTAATCCTGCCTTGGCTTCTGCTGCTTGGAAAGCTTGGGTCCAACACACTCAAAATGGCAATGACAAGAAATGGGTATTATATGTCTCTCTTGTCAATTAGCAACCTGAAACTGGCTTATCCTAATAATTTCATCTACATGTAGAACCTATCATCTCTCCATTAAGTGATTACTAAGATCTTTTCCAAAGATCCATTTCACCTTTTACCATAGATTTTGGTTGTCTTTAAGAAAAGTGGAGTGCAATGGAAAACACATCAGAAAATACTCCAACTTCTGGACTATTGGATATAAAAACATTAAACAAATACGAGGTAAAGTGATAGAATTAGCAAATAGCAATTAAGACATGAAGAAAAATACAGTTACTATAAAAAATTAGAATCCTGGGCCAGCCCCATGGCATACTGGTTGGGTTTGGCATGCTCCACTTTGGTGGCCTGGGTTCACAGGTTTGGATCCCAGGCAAAGACCTATACCACTCATCAGCCATGCTGTGGCAGTGACCAACATATAAAGTGAAGGAAGACTGGCACAGATGTTAGCTCAGGGCTAATCTTCCTCAAGCCAAAAAAAAAGAAAATTGGCAACAGATGTTAGCTCAGGGCTAATCTTTCTCAGAAAAAATTATTAGAATCCTATGTTTACATTAATATCTCACTCACCTGTAACAGTTTTCACTCCATCCATGATCTTACTCAGATCAACTTTTCCATTAGCTATGAAGAAAAGGGCCAATTGAGACATGTAATCAATGTCATGAGCTCAGAAAAACCTATATAAAGGATGTATATTGATAGAAAATTCTTGATAAATACCATTACATCATAATTTTACCCCAACTTATATTAAATCTCTGGATTTTAAAGGATTTAAGCTGATCTTTATATTTTCAAAAAGACATTTTGGATATTGGAGTTTATACAAGGGAAAAGGTACTTTTTCCAGTGTTTCTGGACCATTGGTATCTGGATCAGCTATCTGGTAACCCTTACTTTAGCTACTGCTGTGAGCTATGTGTGCCATGGCTCAGACTGGAGCCACTAATGCAAACGAGGATATTAAGCGAATGCATCCTTCAGTATGTAGTGCCTGAGCAAGTTAAAATATCAGAATTTAACTAGAAGAAAGGGGAAGTAAATAGGAAGAGTCTTCTGCATGGAAGAGAGGCATGAAAAAAATGTGAAGAAAATCTAGGTACAATGTATACAATGTATAAATATACAATGTATGGATAACTACAAGCAGTTAAGCATGGCAGAATGATAAAGTATAGATGAGGGAGAGGACAGCTCATACAAGAGAGGGAAGTGTGAGCTCAGATCATGGAGGGATTTGCAAGGTATTTTCAGAAGCTTAGCCTTTATCTACTAGGTTATGTGGAGTCATTCAGGGATTATAAGTTCAGGATTGATATATACCAATTTGCATTTTATTTTACTTTTCTTTAACTTGAATTTTTAATTACTTTTATTATTACAAAATTATATTTATATTGAAATAGAGATAAAGGGAGTGATGTCATCAAGATGGCAACATATGAGGCCGGCCCGTGGTGCAGTGGTTAAGTGCACACATTCCGCTTTGGCGGCCCGGGGTTCACCGGTTCAGATCCCAGGTGCGGACATGGCACCGCTTGGCAAGCCATGCTGTGGTAGGCATCCCACATATAAAGTAGAGGAAGATGGTCATGGATGTTAGCTCAGGACCAGTCTTCCTCAGGAAAAAAGAGGAGGATTGGTAGCAGTTAGCTCAGGGCTAATCTTCATCAAAAACAAAACAAAACAAAAACAAAAACAAAAACAAAAAAAGATGGCAACATAGGTCATTCCCAACTTCAGTCCCCCTCACAAGATGACTAACTTGTAACTATCCATAGACAAGACACCATTGTGAAAATCCGAGAACATGGAGGTGAGGCTGAAACACCCCTTTGGACCACAGAGATCGAGAAGGACAACATTAAAATGGTAAGAGGATCAGCTACACTCTCACCGCATTTTCCCTCTCCCAGGCTGGCACAGCACTGCACTGAGAGGGCCTCCAGGTCTATGGTTTCTTTAGCAGGAAAAAGAGAGCCCAAGGTAGACATCCAGCTTCCCCAGAGCTGTGGGGCGCTTCCTGAGAGGCCCACTTGGGTCTTGTCTCACAGGTCTTGCAGGGGGAATCTGCGGGGCTTGGCCACTGGGGATCAAACTGAAATGAAGAAGGTGAGCAGGGCTTACAGCAACCAGCACTTGGATCTTGACAGACTGTGTTTCTCCTAGCAGAAGTACTCAAGCAGATATCCTAGCGAGAGGCTTTGCCCATCTGCAGAGCCAAGCTGGTGGCCTCTTCAGACCAGAGAACTCAGTGCACAGTTCTGCCTGATTTGGGACCCCAAACAAGAAGCTGTGCCAGCCTTGGAAACTGTTTTGCCACTCTACTCAGGCAGGGAAGCTAATTCATAGCCCACCTATTGTGAATACAGTCCACAGCCCTGCCCAGCCAAGAAACCTGACCAGAGTACCCAGGAAGCTGTGTAGCCCACCCTACACTCCTGCCTACAGAGCCTGAACGGAGAGCTCAACCAGTGGCTCTGCCCATCTGCAGAGCTGAGCTGATGACACTGTGTGGCCAGGGAGATTGAATGAGAGTCCTGCCCAATTTGGGTACCCAGCCAACAAGCCATACTAGTGGAGAAGCCTGTCCTATAACCCTACCTGGGCTGGGAAGCAAATTCAAAGCCCTGCCTAGGGCTGAATATAACTTCTAAGCCCCATCTGACCAGGAAGCCTAACCAAAAGACCTGGAAAGCTGCACAGTCCATCCTACAGATCTGCTGTCAATGGTGCCTGTGTGGAGCCAAAAAATTTGACAACCTGGAAAAAAATGGATGAATGTTTTTTAGAAACATACAACCTACCAAGACTGAATCACGAAGAAATAAAAAATCTTTACAGACCAATAACAACTAAGGATCTTAAGCCAGTAATCAAAATCCTCCAAAAAAAGAAATGTCCAGGACCAGACGGTTTTACTGGTGAATTTTACTGAACATATAAAGAAGAATTAACACCAATCCTTCTTAAACTCTTCCAAAAAGTTTAAGAGGAGGAAACACTCCCAAACTCATTTTATGAGGCTAGCATTACATTGATAACCAATCCAGATAAGAATATTACAAAAAAAGAAAATTACAGGCCAATATCCCTGATGAACAAAGATTCAAAACTTTTCAACAAAATTCTAGCAAACCAAATTCAACAGCACATTATAAAGATCACACACCATGATCAAGTGGGATTCATCCCTGGGGTGTAAGGATGGTTCAACATAGGCAAATCAATAACTGTGATACACCACATTAAAAGAATGAAAGAGAGGCCGGCCTCGGTGGCACAGCAGTTAACTTTAGCACTTTGGCGGCCCGGGGTTCGCCAGTTCAGATCCCGGGTGCGGACATGGCACTGCTTGGCAAGCCATGCTGTGGTAGGCGTCCCACATATAAAGTGGAGGAAGATGGGCACGGATGTTAGCTCAGGGCCAGTCTTACTCAGCAAAAGGAGGAGGATTGGCAGCAGTTAGCTCAGGGCTAATCTTCCTTAAAAAAAAAAAAAAACAAAGAATGAAAGATAAAAATCATATGAGCATCTTGATAGACGGAGAAAAAGCATTTGACAAAATTCAATATCCATTCATGATTAAAAACTGTCAATAAATTGGGTATAGAAGGAACATACCTCAACACAATAAAGGACATATATAACAAGCCCACAGCTAACATCACATTCAATGGTGAAAGTTTGAAAGCTTTTCCTCTAAGACCAGGAATAAGACAAGGGTGCCCACACTCACCACTCCTATTCAATATAGTACTGGATGTTCTAGCTAGAGCAATCAGGAAAGAAAAGGAAATAAAAGGCATTAGAATCAAAAGGAAGTAAAAAAATTGTGTCAAAACTATTTGCAGATGACAGGATTTTATATATAGAAAAATTCTAAAGATTCCACAAAAAACCCTGCTAGATTTAATCAACAAATTCAGAAAAGATGCAGGATAGAAAATCAACATATAAAAATCAGTAGTGTTTCTATACACTAATAATGGAGTATCAGAAAAAGAAATAAAGAAAACAATACCATTTATAATAGGCAAAGCAATCCTGAGAAAGACGAACAAAGCAGGAGGCATGACATTTTCTGATTTCAAACTATATTTCAAAGCTATAGTAATCAAAACAGTATAGTACTGGCATAAAAACACACACTTGGACCAATGAGAGAATCAAGAGCCCAGAAATAAACCCATGCCTATAGAGTCAACTAATATTTGACAAGGGAGCCAAGAATACTCAATGGAGAAAAGATAGTCTCTTCATTAAATGGTACTAGGAAAATTGGATATTTGCATGAAAAAGAATGAAACTCTATCGCTATCTTACACCACTCACAAAAATTAACTCAGAATGGACTAAAGACTTAAATGTTAAGACCTGAAACCATAAAACTCCCAAAGAAAACATAGAGAAAAAGCTGTTTGATATTGGTCTTGGCAATGACTTCTTTTGGATATGACATCTAAAGCACAAGTAACAACATAAAAAATAAACAAATGAGACCACATCAAACCAAAAAGCTTCTGTACAGAAAAAAAAAAAATCAACAAAATGAAAACACAACATATGGAATGGGAGAAAACATTTACAAACCATATACCTGATAAGCGGTTAATATCCAAAATATATAGGGAACTCATACACCTCAATAGCAAAGAAACTAAATAATACAATTAAAAACTGGGTGAAGGATCTGAATACACATTTTTCCAAAGAAAATATTCAAACATCCAACAGGTACATGAAAAGACCACTAATCATCAGGAAAATGCAAATCAAAACCACAGTGAGGTATCACCTCACACCTATTATAACAGCTATCATCAAAAAGACAAGACATAAGTGTTGGTGAGGATTTGGAGAAAAGGAAACCCTTGTACACTGTTGGTGAAAGCGTAAATTGGTGCAACCACCATGGAAAAGAGTATGGAGGGTCCTCAAAAAATTAAAAATAGAACTACCATCTGACCCAGCAATTACATTTCTGAGTATATATCTGAAGGAAACAAAATCACTATCTTGAAGAGATATTTGCACTCCCATTTCACTGCGGCACAATTTACAATAGCAAAGACCTGAAACAACCGGTCTATTGATGGATGAATGGATAAAGAAGATGTGGTTTGCATATACAATGAAATACTATTCCATCATAAAAAAGAAGAAAATCTGCCATTTGTGACAATACAGATGGACCTTCAAGGCATTATGTTAAGTGAAATAAGACAGAGAAAGGTAAACACTGTATGATCTCACTTATATGTTTAATCTAAAAAAACCGAACTCATAGAAACAGAGACAACAGGCTGGTGGTTGCCAGAGGCTGAGGTTGAGGGATGGGGGAAATGGATGAAGGTGGTCAAAAGGTACAAACTTCCAGTTATAAGATAAATAATTTCTGGAGATATAATGTACAGCATGATGTTATAGTTAACAGTACTGTATTGTGTATCTAAAAATTGCTAAGTGAACAGATCTTAAGAGCTGTCATCATAAGAACAAAACATTTGTAACTATGTGAGGTGATGTATGTTAACTAAACTTATTGTGGTAATCATATTGTAAAATATACACATAAAATCATTCTTAAACTTATAGAATATTATGTCAATTATATCTCAATAAAACTGGAAAAAAAGAATTAGGGATAAAAATCAATATATATGGATACAAAATACACAGAATATCTACCTTCTATCCTTCCCCAATCTCTTACCCTTGGGTTCTCCTTCTCAGCAGTAACCACTTTCTTGGCTATTTTGTTTTTAGTTCTTCCGGTTGTTTCCTCTATAACTCTAAATGATATGCTTATTCTTGTATTTCTTGGGGAATCAACGTTAAAGGATGTCTATTAGTTGTTATAAAAGATGAAAATTTATTTCACTTCCAACACGACTTCATCCCTTAATCCCCTTTTCAATTATTTTGGGAATATTTTTATTTTAAATTTTTTATAGATTACTTTTATAACTTTAAAATGTACTTAGGGCTTTAATTCTTTGGTCCATTACCTTTTTTTTTTTTTTAGAATTTACTATTTACTTTAATTTTGCTTGGCATTCTGAAATTTTACAATAGTATAGCTTTGTCTAAGTCTTTATTCATCTGTGCTGGTCACAAAGTAGGCTATTCCATTTGGATACTCATGTCCTTCATTTTTTCAGAAACACTCCTCCATTTTTTGTTTGAGAATTTTCTCTGCCTTTTTCTCTATAGCTGAAAATTCCAGGGTGTAGAAATTTTCTTAATCTAATACTAGACTGCATTTATTACTACTTTTTCTTTCTATTGTTTGATTTGTTTTAAAAAATTCCACTTTCTAGAAGATTTGCTCAGCTGGTTTTTCCATGTCTTCCACTGAATGTTTTTTATTAATCTTCCTGATTTCCAGGATATTTCTTAAATCTACTTTTCTACCTTTTCTTAATTGATTGGTACCCAAATATAAATAGATAGCTTAACCAATTAAGCTCTCTTTGTTGAGTTTTGATAGCAATAGTATGGCAGTTTTCTATAAAATATTGAAAACTTTATTCTTTTCCTCCTCACTTGAAGTGTTTAAATAGCACTGGACTGGTATGTTGCCTATAGATTTTCAAATATTGACATTCCCAGCCTTAACAATAACCTAAATGTTTTTTGAAAGAGGTGAAAGATGACCCATAAGGAGGAGATATTCTGAAGCCGTATTGGCTTTGGGAGACCCTTACCACAGGGAAGGGGTTAGGGTGCTTTCAGTGAACCAGATTCAATGAGAGGCAAGCTAGGAGCCAGAGAAAACTGGCTGGTGTCTGTAATTTTCTCACATCATCTGATGACTATCTTTGATTCAGAAGTTTACGGGAGGAGACACTCAAAGGGAAAACAGAAATTACGGAAAATGAGGAAAGGTGAGAGATTTGTTCTCCTTGCAGAATGCAATAGCTGGGAATGCAACAGTTCAGTCAGCTGGGTCTCTCCTGAGTTACTCTGCAGTGTCTCAGTTTACTCTAAGTCTGGTACACCAACTTTTGATAGTATCTCTCTGCATGTTAGACGAAAAGACTTTATGTCTCCTACACATAAGATGCAGATCATAACCTTCATGGATTTTACCAGCTTCCATAGCTGTGTAAAGTTTATTCCCTATGATGAGCCCCTTATCCTAAACCACTCTGGCTTCTTGATCAAATCCTAACTAAAACTGTGCCTTTTTCCACATCACATATTAAACTTTTTATTTAGGCAAATACATCCAGTTTTTCTTTTCCTTCCTCTGGGTAACCTGTCTTGTTTTCTTTAAGAGTCTGCATCAACCCAACATTATAAAAATTCCCCCAACTTTCCCTAATATTTTTATTTAGTTCTTTTTTACATTTAGAGCTTCAATTCACATAGAATATATTTTTGTCTATACTGTAAGCTAAGGGGATTTCTAATTATTTTCTTTTAGACAGATAGCCAGTACTATTTCTAAATTACTTTTTAATATGGATCAAGTTATCCATTATCTTGGAATCTATTTGTTAGCTCTATTTTCTTGAGTCTACTTCTTTATCTATTACTTGTCAATGAAATTTTGTTTTGATTATAGTAGTTTATAGAAAGTGTTAATATCTGGTTAGGCAAATCTCCATTCTAGTTTTCTTTTTCACAATTTCCTTGGCTATAGTTGGGCATTTATTCTTCCATTTGTCCTTTAAAGTCATTGTATAAGTTCTTATAATAAAACCCCATTGGGATTCTGAAAAATTTATACTAAATTATATATATATTTATATATATATGTTTAGAATAATTGACATCTTTATTTTAGTAAATCTAGTTAAATCTTTCCATCTGAGAGGAAAGAGTTAAAGCAGGTGGTCTATAATCCATTAACTCCCTTCACTGAGGGGATGCCCTCGAAGAAAAGAAGGCAGGTGATCCAGTTTAATATCCTTGTCGATTGGTTCTCCAGTTAAATAGACTAATAATATTTGCAATAAGGAAGAGACTTTATTCTTGAAAAGCCCTTAGCAGTATGCCTCTGGCTAAGAATTACTTACAGCAAATAGAACTCATGATCTATGAGGCATGGTGCCCTGGATAATGTCACATAGGCTATACAACTCTCTGGAGATGTTTCATAACATAAATGCTTCTGCTGTGTGAGGTGATCCTGTGGCCGTTATACAGAGACTTCATCTATTCTGGGCCAGAATGGCATGTCCAACATTGGAAGGAAGGAACTATGGAGCTTCCCTTGACATCTCAGACCTCTATCTGCTTTTTTGATTGCTTTTATCCTTGAGATTATTAGTAAAGCTTGATACTGGGTAAGATCTCTGAGTCATGTAAGTCTGATTTAACAACCTGATCCTGTGTGTTACTTTACCATTCAAGAGCATTAATTAATGTTTTATTTTATGTTCCTTAACAAGATTTTATAGTTTTCTTCATACAGGTCCTGTTTCTTATAAAATTTATTCCTAGATATTTTATGGTCTTTATTGATGTTATAAATTGGATATTTTTCCTATTTGTATTTCTATTGGGTTATTGGTAGCCTAGGGAAAGCAACTGAATTTTTGCATTTTTATCTTGTATTGAGCTGCCTGAACCAAAATGGCTTATCTAAGACTCAGTAATTCTAATAGATTTCTTTTAGTTTGTGTGCTTTTTGGGTTTCCTAGATATACAACAATATCATCTGAAACTAAAGGTAATATTTCCTCTTTCCCAATATTATTTCATCTCATTTTCTCATTGAAGTAGCTAGAACCTTTAAAACAATGCTGAATGACAGTAGCAATAGTTGGCAGCTGTGGCTTGTTCCTAATTTTAGGGTTCCCTAAGATTTTAAACATTTATCTTGCCACTAACTAAATCTAGTGTTAGAAATTCTCAGCTATAAGACTTGGAAAAAATTCTGTTTGGGGACGGACAATGGTATCTACTATCCATACCATCAGTAGGTAGATTTTCTCTCAGCTGTACAAGTTCTTTTTTAGTGAGCTTGATATCCATTTTTTCCAGAAGAGGTTTCAGGTTGCTGATGTCAACTTTTCCTCCTTAAGAAAGACAGAAATGAACATAAGAGTAACTCAATGATTTAAAATATGAAAAACACATTTAGGTCTTTGAGTGTCTTTAATGAGTATGTATAACTATTATAATAAAAGAGACAACAACAAAAAATACAGTTTGCATCTTTGTGTTCTTTCCATTCCTGATAAGAAGATTATAATTTCCATTTGGCTTTTCTAAGAGTAGAGTGAAAGTCACCAGGAACAATGGAAATGGAACGTATTTCCTTAAAACCTATATTGGTGACAAGTCTGCATAGAAAAAAGTCCTTAAGGTTATTGGGCTCAGTGACAACTGGACCCAGAGCCTACTCATCTATCACTTTTAATAGTCCAAATGTACAGTTGGAAGTATTTATTTTATTGACCAGACTCCAAGATTGGCTGTGTCTGTTGCTGAACAACTTTCCTAAAAGTCGTGAAGTGAAGCTAACTATCCACTTCAATTTTGCTATGCATACCCAGATACCAATTATTTATTTGGGAGGAAAATTAGAAGAATTCCAAGTATGGTATTTCTTATGAAGATAAAAGTATATATACCATTTCTGTGTAAAGTGAAAATATAAATAAAGAAGTAAAAATAACGAATAAAAATATAAAGAGGGAGACAGGACTCAAAATCTCATGCAAAGCCTGAAGATTTCAGACAAAAGCACCGATACATCATAATTCTTACTTACTCTCGAAAGACTTCACATCCTTTAGTACCCTATTTTGATGCACTTTTCCATCATCTATTTAAAAATAGAGGATTTGGTTTATGATACAGGGAAATTGATAAGGGAATTCATAAAAATAGAAGTCATTTCTTATATTTAAAAAGAATAATGTTTTGTCTAGAACATTTTGTTCTATTTTACTTTGAAGTAGCAATAAAGTTAAGGAATGCTGAAAATCTTTAAATGTACAAAACTATTTACATTTTGTCCCATAAGGCCATTTTTTAGTAGAATTCTACCGTGCTGAAATACACACGATCAGGTTGCAAAAAGAAGTGTTTCAAGTATTTCATGCCCATTTACACAAGCATGTTGATGTCCTTTATCCAGTGTTCATTTTCATATTGGGTAGTCTTTTTATTTTTGAAAAGAAGGTCTTAAAAAAGCTCTTAATTAAATTTTTGTCATACCTGTTGCAAATGCTCTTCCCAGATTGCTATTTACTTCTTTTCCTCATGCATAAGTTTTAAATCTTGTAAATTTATTATTTCTGGGTGTTTGAGGGTAAAGATCTCTGCAGTTGATTCAGAAAAAAAGTACGTGTGCGCACGCGCATGTGTGTGTTAGAGAGAGTTTCAGAGAGAAAGAGTGTAAATAAAGGATAAAACAAATGGCAAAATTGTAAACAAATGGTGAATCTGGGTAAAAGGTATGAGGGAGTTCTTTTACCACTCTTAAAACTTTTCTATAAGTTTGAAATTATGTCAAAATAAGTTAAAATAATAGGAACCCCAAAAATTGAACCACTTAAAAATATTGAAATTCCTTTTTAAGCAACATTTGAGTCAAAGAGAAAAAATAAAAATGGAATTTGTGAGCTATTTAATAATAATGAGAATGAGAATTACATATCTGAACCTATGAAATAAGGCTAAAGCAACAAAGAATGAAAATAGAGCCAACCATTCAACTGCAAGAATAAACAACAAAAGTCCCAAAGACAGAAAAAGGAAGGAATTGACAAAAATTAAAGCAGAAATTAATACATAAAACAAACAGTAAAGAAGCAATAAGTCTAAGAGTTGTTTTTTTGGGAAGAGGGAATAAATAACACAGATAGACTGCTAGGAAGGATAACTGAGAAAAAGATAAAGCATAAATATAGCAAATCAGCAGTAAGAATCAGAAAATAACTATGGATACATGGGAAATTTTAAAAAATTACAAGAGAATATTTTGCCATACTCTGTGTATGAATTGGTTGATGTTCCAGGAAAACATAAAATATCAAAATTAGCTAGAGACAAAATAGAAAACTGAAGAAGTTCAATTATCATGTTATGTTATTTGACACATAAGGATTCATGGATTCTTGCTGCTTTGATCTTCACTGTGAATTACATCTTTATTATAACAAAATCATTGCTTACCTTATCATAGCAGGTTTTCACTGGAATGTTCAGTGATTCTCAAACCAAAATCTATATGACACTGACGGAGTTTTTTTTATCGTAGCTTTTCATTTTGATATGATTTCAGACTTATAGAAAGTGTCAAAAATAGTACAAAGAATTCTCACACACTCTACACACAGGTTTTCCAAGTATTAATATTTTACCATATTTGTTTTATCATCCTTTCTATATGTGCATGCTATTATTTTTTTCTGAATGTTTAAGAGTGAGTTGCAGACACAATGCCCTGAATCCCAAAAACTTTAGTATTTTCTTTAAAAAATTTCTCTTACATAATCACAGTACAATTATCCAAATTAGAAGATTAAGATTGATATAGTACACCTAACTAATCTACAGAAGTTAGTCAAATTTTATCAATTGCTCTATTAACATCACTTACAGCAATTAAGCATTAAGTTGTCATGTCTCTTTATTCTTTAATCCTTTAATCTAGGACAGTTCCTCAGTCTTTTTCCTTTATGACTTTCACATTTCTGAAGAGTACAAGCCATTCGTTTTGGAGAATATCCTTCAATTTGGGTGACAGGTTTTTAAAAATAACTCAGAGATTAAAGTTTCCAATAATCTTTAGGCATTAAATTCTAAAGCTTTAGAGTTTCCCTCCCAGGCTTACAAAGTCTAGTTGTTAGGAAGGTTCCAGCAGCATTTTTTAGGCTTACCACTAACTGGCAATGTTTTCACCAGCTGCGTATGGTCCATATCAGTAAGTTCAATCCCCGTATTTCTAAGGACATTTTCCAGGTTATTGATATCGATCTTTTCACCTTTAAAAAGTTAGAAATAGGTATACATACTAATGAAGATCTCAAATTTTAGGTTGAATAGCAAAAGCACAATGCAGTCCTTGTCCATTACACAGTCTTGGGAGAAATTAGAACTTTAGTTGTTCCTTCAATACTAATAGACAAAGGTTCTTTTTAAAGTCTGGGAAAAATAAACTCATTTCTATCACTATTCCAAAAATCCACATAGGTGGCTGATATTATCTCACAAGAAAGGTTACATGATTTTGTTAACAATGTAATTGTTAACAATGTTAACTCAATCCTTCAGAAATTCACAGTGCCATCTACTGTGCCTGCCTAGAGTTTCATGCAGGAAAACATGTTATTAGGAAGGAATGCCCTACAGAATGTAGGATTTCTTATGAAGATTTAGTCCTGTAGGTATTCTTTGTACTGTTTTGTTTTTACTTTCTTTTGCTAAACTTAAATTTATGTACTCCAAGACAAAACTTTTCACTGGGTCTACTGGCAGGATACTGTGAAAAAACCACGGAAAAATACAAATTATTGTAAAGCCCTGGGCCCTCAGTTTACTAGTAATTTATCACTAACCTGCTAAAGCTTTCACTTCACCCATTACATTTTTCATACCAACTTTCCCATCAACTGCAAGGCAACATACAAATTACACTGATATATAACACTAAAAATGAGAAACTGAGAAGAATTTAGTAATTATCACCTGCTCTAGAATTTTATCCTATTTTCCCCCTTCATTAGTGTGAAAAGAGAAAAAGTTTTACATTTCACAAATACAGCTATGTTAACAAGCTGACACTGACTTTTTTTGCTTTAAGATATTAAAACTTTTAGGCATAAAAGAAACATATGTAAAGGAAGTCCCTTCTATCTTAGCTTTTCAGCATTTAGATCTTTGAAAATTCTCTATTATTTAGCTAGGCTACTGGGACAAAATTTAAAAGGTAGTGTGTATTGTGTACCATCTTTCAATGTTTTAAGTTTGTAAATTTTCTATTAATATAAACTTGGCCCACACACTACTTATCCATTATTATAATTAAACTGAAAAGATTTCACAACTCTTTGAACTCTTTGAACATGCAAGCTATAAATGATTTAAGAAATACTAGTGGTTAACTATAGTCACTGTATATAATAAATATTCAGTGATTTGTTGTATCAGTTTTTAAAGGGACATTAAAATAGAAACATTACAGAGACAAAATTAGCTCAGTAAATCAGGGTCTCAATTATATTGTGTTTCTAGAAAGAGGAAAGCAGTGAAAACATTTTTGTGCTTTTATTTTCTGAATATTTAACTGTTGTTTGACTTATAGCAGAAGACAAAATTTGAAATATAAACCACATTATTGAGAAAATATAACTAATAAGCACAATACAAAAATCCATTATAACCTCAGATGGGCATTTTGAGCTAAAATAAGGTCTTAGAGGCAAAAGTTGGTTGTCCTATATTTAGAATCACATTTCTCTCTACATTAGTGTAAATTCAACCAACAAAGAAAATAAGGAAACAAAACATATCACATTAGTGAATCAAAAATATTGAAAAATGAAAGAGTAACTTAAATAAAATGTCTTCTATAAAAGATCTTATCTCTGACAAATGGAAAGAAAGAAATGGCAAAGATGGCACTAAACAGCACCTGAAGAAGATGAGAAAAAATTAATTTGCCCAGTGGGAGTAGCTAAGTAGGAAATGTTCCAGGTAAGACATTTCTTGGCCTTACCAGAATCCTCTGTTTAACAAGTTCTTGTCCTTCTAAGAGAGAATTATTTTGTGAATAGTTACACTTCAACCTTATTTAACATTATTCATAAACAAGACCTTTTCCTAGCTTATCAAGAGGCAATTGAACTCTAGTATTAGCTCTTGGATAATGGAGCCTGGCTACCTCATATGGGATTCCTCACAGTCATTAAAGAGAGAGAACATGTCAAATATGCTGACCTGAATTATAAATAACTTTGCTCTGTGACAAGGGTCTATGAGGGAACAAAAAAGGTGACATCCTACCCCTTTCTATTTTAAATAGCTGGGGGAACATGATCTCTGTGAATTTGAAGCAATTTTGAGTGAAATTTTAATCATTACGCTCATAAGGCTTTCTCTGTTTCTCTCTTATTATTTTCAGTTTTACTCTGTTAAATTCTCTTACATTCCACTGTCATAGGTCCTGCCTCCTGCATCCTCTCCCTACTTTTTTTCTTTTTCCTTGCCTCCCTCCTGGCCCTTCAGTAATCCTGGTGACATCTTCAGCAATGTGTAGACTTCATAGTTCAAGAAACCACCAACATAAGCTGATGTAAATGTCAAGAGAAAGGGTTTGTTCTTACTTTAGTATTGGGTTCTTCTCAACATTTCTCCAAATGACTTGATGTCAATTAAGCATTTTGAAGAGGTTTGCAGATATAATTTTCCAAGATTTCAGAGGAGCTTAATGATAATAGTAGTGATTGTAACAATAATAGTAATGATGATAATAAGCAACTTTATCGAACACTTATTATGTGCCAGGCACTGGTCTAATTTAATACTGATGAAAACTCTCTTAAGTAGGTGCTATTAATGTACCCTTTTCATATATGAAGAAACCAAGGCATAGAAACATTAAGATGACATAATTTTTAAGCAGAAAGGTCAGAATTCAAACTTAGTCAGTCTGGCTCCAGTGTCTGTGCCTTTAACCACCTTGCTATTCTGAATCTCAATGTTCACCATCTGATGCTCATTCATTAACTGGTAGGCATTGTATCAGATCTTTAAATTATTTTTCTGTGAAGCTCATCCCCATGTTTCCCAGAACTACGTCCAGTTTACTGACATCAATTTTCCCTCCTTAAAAAAGAGATAAGAATAGGAGCAAAATATAGTAACTCTACAATCTGACAAAAATAGACAATCCAACTCTTTTGACCAACAAAAAAAAGCCCAGGACCAGATGGTTTCACCGGTGAATTTCACCAAACATTTCAAGAAGAATTAACACCAATCCTTCCAAAACTGTTCCAAAAACTTTAAGAGGAAGGAACACTCCTCTTAAACTTCTCAAACTCTTCCAAAAAATTTAAGAGGGGGGAACTATCTCAAACTCACTTTATGAGGCTAGTATTATCCTGATACCAAAACCAGATAAGGATACTACAAAAAAAAGAAAACTGCAGGCCAATATCCCAATATCCCTGATGAACATAGATCCGAAAATTCTCAAAAAAATTCTAGCAAACCAAATTCAACAGCACTTTAAAAGGATCATACAGCATGATCAAGTGGGATTCATCCTTGGGATGCAAGGATGGTTCAACCCATGCAAATCAACCAATGTGATACATCACATTAATAGAATGAAAGAAAAGAATCATATGATCATCTCAGTAGATAAAGAAAAAGCATTTGACAAAATTCAGCATCGATTCATAATAAAAATTCTTACAAATTAGGCATAGATGGAACATATCTCAACATAACAAAGGCCATTTATGACAAGCCCACAGCTAACATCATGATGAAAGGTGAAACATGAAAGGCTGAAAGCATTTCCTCAAGACAAGGGTGTCCACTCTCACCAGTCCTATTCAATATAGTACTAGAAGTTCTAGCTAGAGCAATTAGGCAAGAAAAAGAAATAAAAGCTATCAAAATCAGAAAGGAAGAAGTAAAATTGTGGGTATTTGTAGGTGACATGATTTTATACAAAGAAAATACTAAAGACTCAGCCAAAAAACTGTTAGATCTAATCAACAAATTCAGTAAAGCAGCAGGATACAAAATTAACATACAAAAATCAGTAGCGTTTTTATACACTAACAATGAATTTTCTGAAAAGGAAATTGATCCCATTTACAATAGCATCAAAAACAATAAAATACTTAGAAATAAACTTAACTAAGGAGGTGAAAGATCTCTACTCTGAAAACAAGACATTGATGAAAGAAATCAAATAAGATAGAAATAGATGGAAAGGTATCCCATGTTCATGAATTGGAAGAATTAATATTGTTAAAATGTCAATAATATCAAAAGCCATGTATAATTTTAATGCAATTTCTATAAGATTCCAAGGGCATTTTTTACAGAAGTAGAAAAAACACTCTTAAAATTTATATGGAACCACAAAAAATCCTGAATAGCCAAAGAAATTCTGAGAAAGAAGAAAAAAGCAGGAGGCATCACACTTCCTAATTTCAAGCTATACTATAAAGCTATAGTCATCAAAACAGTATGGTACTGGCATAAAAACAGAAAAATAGACCAATGGAACAGAGTAGAGAGCCCAGAAATAAACCAAAGCATATATGGTCAACTAATATTTGACAAGGGAGCCAAGAATACTCAATGGAGAAAAGACAGTCTCTTCAATAAATATGGAGTATTCAGGATCCTCAAAAATTAAAAACAGAACTACTGTATGACCCAACAATTATACTTCTTGGAATATATTGAAAGAAAATAAAAACACCAACTCAAAAATATATCTGCACCCCATGTTCATAGCAGCATTATTTACAATAGCCAAGACATGGAAACAATCTAAGTGTCCATAAATGGATAAAGAAGTTGTGGTATATATATACATACAACAGAATATTATTCAGCCAAAAAAAAAAAAAAAAACGAGGAAATTCTACCATTTGAGACAAATGGATGGACCTTGAATGCATTATGCCAAGTGAAATATGTCAGTCAGAGAAAGACAAATACTGTATGATCTCACTTATATGTGGAATCTAAAAAAAAGAAACCAAAAGACAAACTCATAGAAAAAAACATCAGACTTGTAGTTACCAGAGACAGAGGGTGGGGGAAGGAGGAATTGGAGTAAGGTGGTCAAAAGGTGTAAATTTCCAGTTATAAGATAAACAAGTACTAGGGATGTAATGTACAACATCATGACTACAGTTAATACTTCTGTATGATATATAGGAAAGTTGTTAAGAGAGTAAATACTAAGAGTTCTATCACGAAGAGAAAATTTTTCCTTTCTTTCCATTTTATTGTATCTGTGTAAGAAGACGGATGTCAGCTGAACCTATTGTGGTAATAATTTCACAATATATGTAAATCAAACCATCATGCTGTACATCTTAAACTTATACAGTGATGTATGTCAATAATTTCTCAATAAAATTGGACCCCCACCCCCCAAAGGATATATATGTTCTGGCAATCTAACGCATAGCATGGTGACTATAGTTAACAATACTGTATTATATATCTGAAACTTGCTAAGAGAGTAGACCTTAAAACTTCTCATCACAAGAAAAAAAATTGTAACTATGTGAGGTGATGGATGTGTTAATAAAACTTATTGTGGCAATCATTTTGCAATACGTACATATATCAAATAATTATGTTGTACACCTTGAATACAATGTTATATGTCAATTATCTCAATAAAATTGTAAAAAAGTTATATAGCATGTTAGGATGTGGTAAATGCAAGGGAGAAAAATAGATCTCATAAAGGGAATTAAGAATGCCGAGAACAGGGGCTGTTGGAATTTAATAGAGAAGTCATGAAAGATCTCACTGAGGTAACACATCAGAAGACTTAAAGGAGAGGAAATGAGCCAGGTGGATACTTGGGAGAAGAACGTTGCAGGCATAGGTAAGAGTAAATAAAAAATCTTGAAATAGAAGCATGACTGATTTGTGTGTCTGGAGACCGGTATGTCTGGAGTGGACGCAAGCAGGGAAAAGTAGTAGGAGAAGAGATCAGAGGGAGTGAACAAATCATGTAAGGCCTTCTAGGTCATAGTAAGGACTCGGAATTTTACCCTGAGAGATGTGGGAAACCACTGGATACTCTGTGTAGGGGAGTTTCAGGATCTAATTTATATTTTAACAGGATAACGCTGGATACTATATGGAGAATGACCAAGGGGCAAAGGTGAAACCAAGGAGACCAGTTAGAAGACTACTGCAATAATCCAGAAGAGCGACAGTAGCTTGGAAAAGGGAAGGAGTGTTGGAGGTGGTGAGAAGTGTCAGATTGTGGGAGAGCCACAATTCTGAAGAGAGAGCCAATACTAACAGCTCAAGGATTGGATATAGGGTGTGAGAAAAAGAGAAGAGTCAAGATGACTCCAAGGCTTTTGGCCAAAGCAATTGGTCAGATGGAGTTGATATTTACTGACATGGAAAACTCTGAGAGAGAAGAGGTGGTTTGGTGCAGAAGATCAGGAGTTTGGTTTTAGACGTGTTAAGTTTTGGATCTTATTAGACATCTAAGTCAGCAGTTGAATATATGATTCTGGAATTCAGAGTAGAGGCCCAGATCAAAAATGTACCCAGATTAGAAATTGTCAGTATAAAGATAGCATTTAAAGTTATGAGGCTGTTTAAGATTACCAAGGGAGTGTGTGTAGACAGAGAAGTCCAAGGACTGATCCTTGGAGCACAGATGTTTGAGAGGTGAGAAAGAACCAGGAGAGGAGACAAGAGTAGAGCAATGAGTGAGATGAAAGAAAAATAAGAGCGTGTGGTCCTCTGGAAGCCAAGTGAAGAAATGGTACTAAGAAGGAAGAAATGATCAACTATATTAAATGCTGCTGATATCAAATAAGATAAAGGCTGAGCATAGATTTAGCAATGAGAAGATCACTAGTGTTCTTGACTATCTGATTATAAAATCAATTTTGAAAAAGGTATCAAAATTGGAAATATATCAGAAAAAAATAAGCTCCCTAATTAGTCTATTTTCTCAAATGTATAATACTTTAATAGCAGTCCCTATTTTACTGAGTTTTTGTGAGAATTACATGAAGCTATATATATATATATATAAAAATATTTGTATAGTGTTCAACACATACAAAAGCATTACAGAATTGTTGCTATTATTATTTAGGGAGAGAAAAGTGGCAAATGATGGTTTCTTATGTCATTAATAGTCTAAAACCTTCTCTTCGTACACAAATTTTCGGCCTAACTGTAAAAGAAATAATTTAGAAACTTCACATTAGCAGGAAACTCTAATACCTATGAAGTTGAGTCTATAATATCAATGAACTGATACATATAAGCAACGAAAAAGTAGTGTAACATCTACTGTGAACCAGAAACCTGGCCGAATAAAAACATTAAATGTTAGTAACAGTTAATAATTAATTGTTTCTCAGTTTAGTATAAGAAGAATCTTTGATCCTCTTTCTCCTGGATCTAGAAAATCAAATCAGATCAATATGAATTTCTATATAAAAGTCAGCTACAGGACAGTGTAGTATGTATCATGTATGCTGGTTTAATTTGGCTTCCATAGTCATTAAAAGTAGATAAGTATCACAGATATAAAGATGATAAGAACAAGGAACGATAAAATGTCTATTTGATCTGGATTTATCTTTTCTCATTCAGGTGATAATTGTTTTGAATCTTATCCTCTACCAATAGCACCATAACTCTTTCCTAATAGATACCTAGTAAAGAAGCCATTTCCTGAGGAGTGAACTCAAGAGCTCTAAGCCCTAGGCTATTCAAATGGGATCAGAATTAGAATCTATTTTTTTCATAGGGATTGTTTTTTTCTCTAACACTAAGTCTCCAAATAATTCAGTTGGTCAGGACCTCAATGAGCAATAAAAATATTTCGTGACAAAGAGACTTGTTGATTGCAAAAGGATCATTTTAATTTTTTAATTTCCCCCTTTTAATCATCTTAACCAATTATAATTTTATTAGTTTTTACATGAGCTATAGGAAGAATCAATACCAGAAAAATGTTCTCTAGGTAGCTTCAGTTACAGACAAAATGCTCTTTCCATTTAATTTTACTCTTTCTCCTTTTAGCTCCATGAGAAAAGGAATTTCTGCTACAAATCCAGTCTGCTACAAATCTTGACTCCTTCAGTCAAGATTGTCTCCTTGGGTAAAGTTGGTCCCACATCTAAATTCACTTTTCTCATTACTTTATTAGAATGGTATAGTAGATGTTGTCTCCCTTAGCCCAAGGTAGTCATCCTCCCAGCAGCCGGAAGTGTTGCCTGCTGGTGGCTCACTGCTCATTCTTTCTGGGAATTGCCTTCTCCTGAAAGGAGCTACCTCACCTAATGTTATGTCCCCTCTCAGAGGATAGCCTGCATCCAGTGACTGGTTGATGTGGGATACAAAGGCCCAACCCCTGTAGGATCAGCCGAGGTTTCCGTAGCAACTGCACTGCAGGTCAACTTATTTCTCTGCCCAATCTTACTTCCCTCATTCCCTTATAGGTATTGTTCTTAGAGTATTCCCCAAAAAACCTCTTGCGTACAAATCTCTGCCCCAGGCTCTGTTTCCTAGGATCAAACAAACGGCAAACTAGAAAGAAAATATGCCAACAAAAATTACATACATATTCTTCATTGATTCTGAAAAGTTAATAGGGAAGTTAGGAAAAGTCTCACTGTTTCCATCTTTCAAGTGGAATTTAAAGTTCCTGAACATTAGCCTGGAATCGTGGAGACTTGCCCAAGATATGGGAGTCCATCAAGTTTCAAGAGTAAGAGACACATGACATACTTCCTACAATCACCACAATGGTTTTCCCACTGTGGTGGCTGCCATCTATCGTGAAGGGAGTCATCTTCACTACTCTCTATGCCCTTTTAACTTTCTATTTCGAATGGCTGGTGGAAATATGACCATCACTATTCACAAGAAAATTCCTGGTGGAATATTAATAATTTTCCACTATTATGGCTTCTTCCTTCTCCTTCTCATTCTATTTTTATACTTCTTCACCTTCCTCTTGCTTTATTCCTTTTACTTTTCCTCTTTTCTGCTTTATTCTTTTTCTCTGCTCTGCCAGAGGTCCTAGAAATTTCCTTGAGCTTAGCTCTGCAGTGAAAAAGCTGTCATGAAGTTGATGAGACCGACTAGAGAAAGGATTGAGTTTTACTTTCGGTCTATTTTTTCCCAAGTTTTTCTCCATGGCTTTTTTGTTCCAAATAATCATACTCAAAGTTTTTATACAAAAATTCACAAGTTCCTGTCCAGGAGCTCAGTAATGTTTAAACGCTTACCATTCACTAGCAGATTTTGTGTGAGATCTTTAAGTTCTTTTTCTGTGAGGCTCATGCCCATGTTTCCCAGAACTGTGTCCAGTTTATTGACATCAATTGTCCCTTCTTAGAAAAAAGATATATATATATATATATATATATAAGCAAAATTTAAGGAATCCAAAAAGTGACAAAACTACTAATTCTTATGTATTATGATTATGCTTTACAGTATAAGAGACTGAGGCCCAAGGCCCAATAAATCTGATAAAAATGACAAAGAGAATCAATAATAGACAACAATTGAAACCTCTTCATGTAAATCTGGTTTCAAGGACTAATCTACACAGCATAAAGTTCTAAAGGAGAAAATTAATTAATTTTAAGAGTATAGTCAATTCAATAGTGGAGGTGACAAACGTTTTATTTTTTTGACCAATAAGTGCAGTTTATTTTTGTTAACTGAAACTTCAGATTATTTCTACTAATAACCAAATCACTCACATAACTGAATCATTTCTTATTCTTTCTTTAAAACATTACAGACATAGGCTTTATTTACTTTTTTCCACTAAGTTCAAAAAAATACCCAAAGTGGGGCTGACCCCACGGCCTAGTGGTTAAGTTCGGTGTGCTCTGCTTCAGTGGCTCGGGGTTCAGTTTCTGGGTGCAGACCTACACCACTTGTTGGCAGCCATGCTGTGGTGGTGACCCACACACAAAATAGAGGAAGAGTGGCACAGATGTTAGCTCAGGGTGAATCTTCCTCAGCCAAAAAAAGAAAAATCCTAAAGTTCATGGGACTCCATTCCAAGACACAAAACTGAAAACAAAATAGCAAATGACAAACAGTCCTATGGAAGGAGTATGAGTATAAAACCAATATATGACCAGTGGCAATCTTCACAATTTAATGACTAGGGAAGAGTAGAAACAAAAATTTGAGAGATTTCATATCCATTTGTATTTCAGCATGATTCTTACTCACCTCTAAGAGACTTTATACTACTCATCAGTCTATTTTGATAGGTCTTCCCAACTGCTGTAAGAAATTGCACAGTTCAGATAACAAATTAAGCAGAAATTCACTAAGATAGAATATAAAAGCTAGAATTTTAAAAAGGTACATTTGATTACTTGCATTAGAAATGTCCGATTAAAACAAAATCAAGGATTAGAGAAGTTTCATAATGCAGACATTCCACCTTATTATGAGCAATGGAGGCAATTACTGCTGGCTAACTTGCATGCTGAGACATATTCTTTTCCATTTCCCTTTTTGATTTACCTATTTCTCCACTTCTAGTACATACTTCTTGTATCTCATATTCACAGCTAAATTTTTGGCCTCTCAATGGACTCAAAAGTGACAGTATGAATTTTTTTCCCCAATGGGAGGATTCATGACTGCTGTGTTTGTTCATTCCTAAACTAAGATGGAATAACTTTTTCTAAAGGCAGAACAAGTTCATGCTAATTATTTCTAGACATATATTCTTTCTTCCATGATCAAACAGAGTTAATTTTTAAACATTTCACAAATATATAATACTAAGTTTCCTAAAGGTTATACTAGTATTTGAAATTCTCACCATCTACTGGCAGATTTTTCAACAGCTTCAACCATTCCTTTTCTGTGAGCTCTATTCCCATGTTTCCAAGAACATTTTCCATGTCACTGACATCAATCTCCCCTCCTTCAAAAGCACAAAGTGCAATTAGATGAGAATTTTAAGAATGACATAATTTTAAAACATGAAAAAAATCATCTCAGCCTGTTTCACATGAACTTTACCGCTTGATGAAGCAAAGGCAGAGTGTGACCTATCTAAATACACAATCAATAGCATTCATGTAAATAGATCTCTTTACTTAACTCTGGTAAAATAACTCAAGTCATATTAATTGAGATAAGATAACCCAGTTACAAAAAGTGTGGACTCTCAACACCAGAAAATGAGGGTTACGTAACTTTCTATTGAATTAGGATTTTATTAGGACTGATCTGAGTAATACTGTCATCAGATCAGACAAGGTTTCTGATCATCTTTAAATAACATAATCACCCATATGTTTATCACAGCTTTACTTTACCTATTTCATTGATTTAATCTAGAATTTGGGGTTTTTCCGTCCAATATAGGAAAGGTGTTATATTAGTGTCAAAACCGAAAAACAAGGAATTCACTGCCAAGACACAGAACTGAAATTTTATTACTAAAAAATATAGATAATCAAAAGCCTAATGCTAAGAAATTAGATAAAAATCATTTTATCCAATGAAAGATAAAACGGTAGAATAAACAAGGAAATTCAAAAAATCTTTAAAATATAATTTTGAGTAAAATTTACACTTTTAGATTTACATTAACTTCTCACCTGTAAGAGCTTTCACTCCTTCCATCAACTTATCAAGATCAACCTTCCCATTAGCTATAAGAAAAGGTAAAAATAAAAATAATAAAATGACCCAGACTCAGAAAAAAAAGTATAAAATCCCCCTATTGTGAAAGTCTACTCTTTCCCATTGTGCCTTATGTCAACCTTCAACTTATAAATCCTAGTTTTCAGAGACTCTATAATAGAAAATGTGTCCTATTCCCTAGATCAGAGGTTGTCAAACTATGGTCCACCAGCCAAATCCAGCCCACCACCTATTTTTATATGGCCCATGAGTCAAGACTCATTTTTACATTTTTAAATGGTTGAAAAACCCCAAAGAAGAATATTATTTGTGACACATAAAAATTACATGAAATTGAAATTTCAGTGTCCATAAATAAAGTTTTATTGGAATACAGAAACACTTTTGTTTATGCACTGTCTATGGCTGCTTTTGATTACAAGAGCAGAATTGAGTAGTTATGACAGAGATAACATGGCCCTCAAAGCCTAAAATATTTATTATCTGGCCTTTACAGGGACATTGCCAAACTCTGCCCTAGATGATGGAGTCTACCCAGAGACACTATATTCTTCTGAGATGTCAAGGTTCGCCCTTCTTTATAAACATTGGAGAAACAATTATTGATGCTAGCCATATTCTATTACCCTGCTCAGTTATGGTATAGTCATAAAGCCTACCTATCATGTATAACAAAAGGGAAAATGATAATACTTTTACTGATCTTTCATATACTTTCAATAGAATTTTTAAAAAAATCTTTTCAATTACTACGATAATCTTGGAATGGCTAGTGGCACATCACTGGTATATCATTGAAGCCAGCGTTAGAGATTTTATTCATCTTATCATAAGCAAATTTTTCCTTCCTTTCTTATTTTCCACTACTTTTATTTATTCAGTCATCATAAATTAATTGCTGTCAGGCTGCCAAGAAGTCCCTAAGCAGTGGCATGGTGTTTAACAAAGTCACAAAGATCACCACTGGGGCTGCTAGGTTGGCTTGCCACATTTCCACAGATTTCGCTTGTAATGCAACAATGAGCCCAAATGGAGTAAGACAGTTTATAACTTACACAAAAAAAGCAAGATCAGCACGGTGCTAGATCCCTGCCCTGTTAGTCCCGGAGGACAACACTGAACCAGATGGGTCAGATGACTGGTGGCACATACGGCGAGTTGTTCTGCTGCTGAGGAGCTCACTGAAAACTATAACCCAACAGTTTTATAGACTTAAACAGAAACCTGCAGCTGTACCCTAAGGGAGGGGGGTGGGAAGTCCTGTGTTCAATTGAAACTAGGGAGAGGAATGAGAAACGACCTTGTAACAGCCTCCTGTGAGACAGGGAAGCAGATGGAGAAACTGCTTGGTGGCAGCTCCTCACAAGACTGCTTTTCTCCCCTTGTTCCAGGAGGAATCACGGGGCATTCAATAAAGACTCAGGTTAGACTGTGGTCAAGATTATCTCTGTGGCCTATGTGGAGATGTGCAAAGTTGTCAGAAAAGAGCCATTTCCCTAAAGTTGCATACCTAATATTTGATAATACGCTAGGCCTCAAGGGTACAAAGATAATTAAAGTGAATTTTCTGCCTTCAAGGACTTCAGAGTTTAGAAAAACTGATATACTGAGTAAATAAAATTCGGAGAATATACACTGTTATGCAAGGCTCTTGATCAAATTCCCCCTGACAAACCTGAAGTTTTCCCATACTCACCATATACTAATCTTCCTTTTCCTTATAACAAATCAAATTGGGAAACTACTATCTATTACTCTCAAGCACAGTATTATAAACATACATGTGTCCTATTGAAAAAGGTGGGTTACAAACTGTAATAAGACTATGAAAATCATCTAGGTCTGGAGATTTACGTTTGCTTTTTTTCTTATCATTTAGAATGCTTATTTTATATTTCTTGAAAGAATTTTAGAGTTAAACAGATTTTTAAAATATAACTATCATTCATATGTAAAGATGTGTGAAATAAATTTGCAATTACTATAAACTTCATACTTAGAGTCCAATTCTTTCAAATCACTGTTCAACTGTTCAACTCAGTATGATTGATGTCCGCTTTTGTCTACAAAATATTGTCCTGTGTGTTATCAATAGCATTAGTGATGCAACATTTCTTAGAAAAGTGCTCTACTACTTTTTTTCATTTAAAGTTAGCAAGAAATTTCAACAAATTGATGTTTGATGTCCAGCTCAACTCAACACAAGCCTCTCATTGCTTTGAATTTTGTTTCACCAATTCTGAAGGATTTGGCAATTTCTTCTGCCTTCAATTGCATTGTCTGGTGTGTCACAGGCAATAAATACTCTTGTGTATGTGTCTTTAACATCATGTAGTATAGATTCTCTACATGCAATATCTTCTTTTGTTAGGTCTAAAAAGCATTTTGTTGTGCTTTGCAATAAAATTTGGAAATACAGAGTCATGGTCATTCCTCCAATGATGAATATTCTCTTCACTAATAACAAATTTATACCTTGCTGCTGTTTTCACACTTTTTTGTGTACACAACTGCCTTCAATTCTGACTCAGAGTGTAACATTTTTGAAGAAGTTTTTTTAAAGATGGGCACCTGAGCTAACATCTGTTGCCAATCTCCCCTCCTCCTCCTCCTCCTCCCCCTCCCCCCTTTCTCCTTTTCCTTCTCCCCAAAGTCTCCCAGTACATAGTTGTATATTCTAGTTGTAGGTCCTTCTGGTTGTGCTATGTGGGACGCCACCTCAGCATGGTTTGATGAGCGGTGCCCTGTCCGCGCCCAGGATCCAAACCAGCAAACCCTGGGCCAGAAGAAGAGCGCGCAAACTTAACCACTCGGCCACAGGGCCAGCCCCTTGAAGAAGTTTTTAAGCAGCAGTTAAACTCAACACATATGGAACCAACAGTACACAACTCAGTTAAAGTGATGATGTGCCACAGCAACAAGCTAAAATCAAATTCACACATGCACAGGTAAGGACAACTATGTAATGACTCTACTACCTGATTGACAGCAATTGTAAGATGTATCCTGATTCAAATGTTAAGACGTGAAAGAATATGTATTCTAAAATTGATGAAATATGAGGCTGGTTCTGATTCTGCCATGGCAGGTTCAGTTCTCTGCAGCCTGTTTCTCTTGGTGGTTAGATTAAAAACTCTGAACAAAATACAGAAACACTAGAATAATGAGGAGAATCAAAACTTGCAAAAGTGACTGGCAAGGAGATAAACATTCTGTTTTTGACTTTTTCTCTCTTTCTCTCCTGGCTTTGTGCTGACAGTGGGCCTCAGTGACAGAACTGCATGGCAGAGCACGAAGATAAAATTCTGATAGAAATTCCATCTTTCTGGCCAGAGAAACCTGGAAAAAGGGCCCCTTCGAGTTGGAAAATGTGGGGGAGTTCCAGGGAGGGGAAAAGATGGAGAAAGGGATCTCTTAATTCTGTATATGAATTGGCAAAAGTCTTGGGCTCACTCTTGAGTTGTGCATGCAAGGGACAGACCCAAAGTATCATAGCAAAGGCTTTGAGAACTGAATTAAGATTTAAACCAGGGCCCAAGTCTCAGATTAACCCAAGTGGCACATGCAGGACAGACCCAACTAGGACAGCAAAGGCTTTGAAGAGTGAACTGAGATTGGAATCACCCCCAGAGAAGAGGAAATAATTTGTTGTCTGAATCTTACTGAGATGATTACCTGCTAAAATAAAAATAGTCAACATCCTTCAAAGAATTATAACAGGACCCAGAGTCTATACAACATAATAGTCACAACGTCCAGGATATAATTCAGAACTATTTGACAAACAAAAAGCTAGGAAAACATGGTCAATTTCCAAGTGAAAAGGCAATCAACACATGCCAACCCAGAGATGACTCAAACGTTAGAATCATCAGACAAAATCTTTAAATCAGTTACTGAGCCTATGCTCCCTGAGGTAAAGGTAAACACATTTGAACAGAAAGAAAGAAGTTATCAGCTGAGAAATAGAAAACTATAGAGAAGAATCAGATAGAAATTTCTGAACTGAGAAATACAATACGTGAAATAAAAAATTCATGGAATGAACTCAACAGCAGAATGAAGATGATAGAGGAAATAGATAGTGATTTGAAGATAGTTTAATAGAAATGATCTAATATAAGGAACAGAGAGAAAAGAATGAACAGAGCCTCAGGAAACTTTGGGACAATATTAAAAAGTCTAACATATGTGTCATTGGAGTTCCAAAAGGAGAGAAAGAGCTTTGAGGCAGAAAAAAAGTTTGAAGAAATAATAACTGAAAATGTCCCAAATTTGGTGACAAACAGAAATTTACAGATTAATTGGGTTGTTTGTTTCTTCACTGTTAAGTTTTAAGAGTTCTTTACATATTTTAGATAACAGTCCTTTATCAGATGTGCCTTTTGCAAATACTGTCTCTCCGTCTGTGGCTTGTCTTCTCATTTTCCTGACATTGCCTTTCACAGAGCAGAAGCTTTAAGTTTTAATGAAGTCCAGCTTATCAATGATTTCTTTCATGAATTGTGCCTTTGGTGCTGTATCTAAAAAATCATCACCACACCCAAGGTCATCTAGGGTTTCTTCCATGTTATCTTCTAGAAGTTTTATAGTTTCATGTTTTATATTTAGGTCTATCATCCATTTTGGCTTTTGGTAAAGTGGCACAGTTTATTAACTTTGATAGTTCGGATACAGAATATATCTGTACTTACAGTTCATATCATAGGTACTTCAAGAGACTTATTTAAGAATGCTATAAAGGTCAAATATTTGCCTTTAAGAAAGATCCCTCCAAACGATTAAAAATCACTTCATTATTCCAGCCTACTTCTTATTGCTTAATAACATCATAAAGGGATGTAAAGTATATCCTACGTGGGTTAATTACTAGGTTTTATTTACATTGATCCATGTGGAATCATTGCTGTAATTTTTTTGAGTAAAAAATATAGATGTACGTTTTGATTTTATGGTATAATTGTATATATTTAAAGTGTATATGTTGTTCTGATATATGCATACATTA